GGGAACACCCTGCCCTCGCGCGGCCTGAGCGCTTCCGCGGTGCCGGGATCCTACGTGGCGACCAGGGGATACGCCGCCCTTAGAGTGGAGGCGTGCAGTAGGGGCGGCATCGACGGCCGGCCGATAGAGATCATCGTAAGTGTTTGGTTATGAGAACTAGGGTCCAGAACTGGAAAATCATGGTTCTTTTGAGCATTAAAGAACCGGGACGCGAAATTATTAATTCACGGTTCTTTCGGTAACAATAATTCAACATATTTTTTTGCTACAAATCCGAAAGTCCATTGATATTTTCTAGCGGTCGAAATCAAACTTAATGTTGTTCAACGTATTAGTTGTAATTTATGTTATGCTTTAATGGACATTTGCAGTCTTAATTCAGTATTTTAGGGCTTTTTACTCAAATTTAGTTAAGTTTGTTTATGTTGTTTGCTGTGAATTTTAAGTTATCTATATATATTTTTATTTCTTTGCTTGTGTTCATGTTAATTTTTTGTGGCTAATTATTTAATAATTTGATATTACCTATTTTCATTAAACATCTCAATTTTTTATCGATTCCACTTTGGAAAAGTATCTCTTGCTTTCTGAGTAATGAACTGCACCACCATTGAACAAAAATTAGTTAGTCCCGAAAGTACCGAAAAAAAACAGGAAATTTCCGGTTCCGAAAAACAGCGCTGATTCCCTATTCCCTCTGGAAGCTCTAACAAAAACGGTTGAAGGGATGATTCTACAGATTTCAACTGTCGAAATTTGGATAATGTCCGTCCTGTATTTTTTTTCTAGTTCTAGTGTGCCGTTACATATTACATTTCTACTATTGAAATGCCTAAACTTGCACTTATCTCCCTGATACAGATTATCCATAGATCGTTGTAACATTCAGTCTTTTTCAGTTAACTTTCTATTGCAGCAAAATTGTTGATATTCATGGAGCAACATCTTATTTCTATTCCTCGGGAAATTTATTAGAGACAGAAAGTAGTGTTTTTTAGGTAGGGTCAGTTGGGGTAATCGTAAACAGGGGTAATTGTAAACAGGTCTAATAACTTTTAAATTTGATGGGTAGGGAATAAGTTGACTGGTTACACTTGCTCCTATATCCTTCACCTATTATTGGGAGTCACTGTCCTAAATCGAGACATTCTTCTTTATTCAGTCTGTCCTTGCGAAAAGTTTTACGAAACTCGAAACAAAGAGAAGTAATACAATAACACTTGTAAAAAGATATAAAATAGATTTTCAAGAGTCAAACATTTATTGATAATGAAATAATTACACTTCCTCTAGCAATATTGAGACAATCGGATATGGTATACAGGGTTGTTCACCACATACGACACGGAGTATTGTAGCTAAACGATTAGATTTTTACAAATTGTAAGTCTTGGGTTCGTTGAAGGACTATTAGAGCTACAATTTAAAAATATTTTTACTTGATACAGAGTGTCCGAAATAAGTAAGAAATATTATACTTGTATTTTTTTAAATGGAACACCCTATATATTATTCTATTTTTGGATTCTACGATTGAAATAAAGGTAAGTTTGATTAAGGTTTATCACACTTAAACCTTACTGTTTTTGAAATATTTTCAATTTTATGAAATTGCAGTAAAAATTTTAAGGCTTCATTTCTCCAAGAGTATCAAAGTTTTTAATACTAAATATTTACTGAAAATTATTTATTGATCAGATATTGTGTTGCAATAATAAAAATTTTACTACCTTATACAGATTGTCCAAAAATTTATATGAAATAATTACTAGCTTTAAACGGCAATAACTTGTTTAATTTAAATGGAACACGCTATATATTTTACGTCATTCAGATGCACAATGTAATTGTCTATAAAATTGTATTATACCATTTTTTACCCATCTCTCCAAGTTTTCATAGAAAATGCATTTTCTTATAATTTAGACCTGATTTATCACTATACCTATGGAATATTGACATTTCAGATTAGAGACTTGAGAGACATATACTATGTACAAAATGTACAGGTGGTAAATATTGCAAGCCCATTGGCATACAAAAAAATCTTTGTAATAAAGTATACCAATTAAATATACAACCATTATTTCCGACCAAAAACACCAAAAGTTAGTTAATTACATGCTTTTAAATTGTTTTGATTAATAAAGTATTCTAAATAAATATGTATTTGGCTCAGAAATCAACGTAATAATAAGTTATGAAAATGAACGTCTCTGTTTTTATAAATAAGCATCCGTCAAAAAATGAAACAAAATTTATAAGGTGTTGCTTTTTAACACACTGTCTAATTCACACACAAAATTAAGTTTTTTAGTATTTGGAGCAATTATTATTAATCAACGTAAACAGTCAATTAATGTAGTTTGAATACTGGGATCATATTAATTGGTCCTCTTTAACAAAAAAATATTTAAACAGTTTTTTTATTTTTTAATTAAATAAAGTGTATTGACAATATTAGTATCTGCACCGTTTCAAAATTTGTTACATCTTATAAAAAATAAGCTAAAATGTCAATATTCCATGAGTATAGTGATAAATAATGTCCAAATTATAAGAAAATGCATTTTCTACGAAAACTGGAAGAGATGGGTAAAAAATGGTATAATACAATTTGATAGACAATTATATTGTGCATCTGATTCACGAAAAATATATAGGGTGTTTCATTTAAATTAAACAAGTTAGTGCCGTTTAAAGCTAGTAATTATTTAATATAAATTTTTGGACACTCTGTATAAGGTAGTATAATTTTTATTATTGCAACACAATATCTGCTCAATAAATAATCTTCAGTAAATATTTAGTATTAAGAACTTTGATACCCTTGGAGAAATGAAGCCTTAAAATTTTAACTGCAATTTCATAAAATTGAATATATTTCAAAAACGGCAAGGTTTAAGTGTGATAAACCTTAATAAAATTTACCTTTATTTCAATAATAGAATCCAAAAATAGAATAATATACAGGGTGTTCCATTTAAAAAAATACAACTATAATATTTTTTACTCATTTGGGACACTCTGTACTTTGTAAAAATATTTTTAAATTGTAGCTCTAATAGTCCTTCAACAAACCCAAAACTTACAGTTTGTAAAAATCTAATCGTTTAGCTACAATACTCCGTGTCGTATGTGGTGAACAACCCTGTATATTCTAGAATTGATTGCTTCGCCCCTCTTTAATATATTTTAATGTCGAAAAAAATTAGCCACGCCCACAGAATAAATTCTTGTTTGGGCGAAAATTGGGCGTTAAATCTATGTGAAATTAATTGATTTTTTCCCTCATATTGTCTTCCAATAATCTCTCCAATACACTACTTCTACAACATAAATACTTACCTCATTATTTACAATTTTTTTCAGATTTTTTTTTAAATTTTATTATTATTTTGCCATTTGTTAATTGTATTATAATATCATTGGAGTCATTTGGATCTGACTAAAAAAATTGCGCTAACGTACGAGCTTACCCTACCGCACAGAACTTACTTCGAATTCATAAAAATTCCATCTCTTCTATTGTAGGATTTACAGGTCGTCTATTTACTTCGGAATGCGCTCCGCCTCCATTTCTCGTACAAAATATGATGTAATCCCGCGCATTAGTTACGATATCCACTTATTAGTACACATCTAGATGTATAAATTTTGTTGTATCGGAAAATTTTCTCTTTTTTACTTGTATATTCTTCGTTGATTTTGAATTTCAGGTCATTCGTTTATTCCTTCTTTATCCCAAATTATGTTTAAATTTTATTTCGTATAAACTATTTTAAAATATTCAATATTTGATATTATTAAATTTATTGACATTCATAACATTTGAATTTCAATATTTAACTGAGTCTTGTGGATGTCAATTTCTTGCTTTGTCATTTTGTGTTTAAATGTCGGGTCTATTGTCGAATAAATAACATTTTTATTGATATTGGGTAATAAATAGTTCGAGGAATTTGACCTGGGGAGATGTGGGTGTCGAGGAATGTATCTATTTTTGAAATATTTTATTTCGTTTTGGACCAGCTGCTCTAAAGAAAGTTCAGTCTTCAGTCCCATAAAGTGCTATCTTTATTAAAGCCAACGTGGGTGTAAAAATAGTCGCTTATCTTATTTTCTAATATAAGGAAAGATATTCACACGTAAAAATGAGCTATAAAATTTATATTAACAAAACAGTGTAAAATTTCGCTCGTCTCTTCAATGACGCGTAATAATTATTGTTAGTGTCTCAAATGTATTACAGTTTAGGGTTGGAACCTTTGGTGTTACACAGCAAAATAAAAACACTAAATCACCACAATACACCAAAACGCTTTTACATTTACACTGGACGCGCGTTTCGCTAACCATGTTATATCATCAGCAGATGATTATAAACTAAAGTACAATCTACAAGTTGATCGTTTATATACTCGCTCAGTGGGCACCGAGTGGGCGTGGCAAAATCAAGCCAACCGAGTCAGGGCCCACTGAGCGTAACAGTTAGATTTCCGCCACTAGAGTAGTAGAAACAAAGAACTTGAAGGAATTGGACCGTTGTCTCTGTTCATACTATCTTTACATTTATTAATTCTGATGCTTTCATATGCATCTAATTGCCTGTAATTTGAGACTTGTTTAATTAATTTTAAATTATTAAGATCTATACAATGTTCTTTATCAACAATATGTTCGGCAACGCAAGATTTATCCGGTCTACCATATCTTATCTGAGCAAAATGTTCTTTAAATCTAGTTAATATTGATCTTCTAGTTTGCCCAACATATTTCTGATTACAATCTTTACAAGAAATTTCATAAATACCCGACCTTTCCAATGGAGGTGTTTTATCCTTTTGGATTACCTAATAATATAATAAACTAAAATATAATAAACCATATAATACATTATTTTTTATTTATTATACTCATAATTTATTTCGTAATATTTATTCTTAAAATACAAAGATTATGTCTCAGCACTATATTAATGTAAATCTATTTTGTTTCAGGCGAAGAAAGATATTTATCAAGTAAAATCACAAAGACTTATGTTAGCTCAGGACGAGTACAATCATCTCAATAATGCATTGACAACGTTAACGACTTCCAGAACAAGTTGTAAGTAATAATATTAATCGTGTATTCATTAATTTAACAAATCGACTTAAAATTTTAGTATGTTCAACGGGTAGTGCTGTTAGTACGAAGTACGATCCAGACCTGCTCAAATCGGACGTTGCAATGGCAAAAAACCGCGTTTCTAGACTCAGATCCGAATTGGAACAGATCAGAAACGAAATGAACTTCACACAAAGAGGAGTCGAAACTCTGGCCAGGTATATACTATAACTTCTTAAACTATTTCCTGATTTAACAGTTTGTTTGATTTCCTTTTAGTGTGGAACAGAAACTCAGTATGGGCCAAGGAATGTGTTACAATATTGCAGAAGCTCAAGCCATTATGGCTGAACTAAGAAATATCCAAAAATCTCTCTCCTCCGGCGAAAAAGAAAAGGCTGAATTAATGCAATCACTAGCAAAATTAAAGGATGATTTAACAAGATTGCAATTATCCGAAAGTTCTCCAGACGTATCCACTTTAAGTCTTCCACAAGAAAAACTCAGTACAGCTTCCCAAACAGATTTATCATGTGAATTAGTGCCTATCGGAACTAGATTAGCCGAAATGGCAAAAATGCGATTAGAATACGATGAAGCGCGAAAAAAAGTACAACGTATACAACAAAAGTTGGCCGATTTAGAAGAAAAGGTACAGCCCGGACAAGCCGAATCCGACAAAGACCGGCTACTGTTGTTCCAAGAAAAGGAGCAACTTTTGAGGGAACTACGCAGTATTACACCTCGAATGAGATCGAAAGAAGAAATGTGCGATATTCAACAAGAATGCCGAAGGTTAGAGCAGGATCTTAACAACGCCCTAGAAATGTCTAACAGAGCAATAGCAGATAGGTTAAGATTACACGAAGAAAAGCAATTATTGTTGCAACAACTCAGGGACGGATTAAAACAAATGACCCAATTAGAATCTCAATTGAAAACGCTATCTGCTAGTACGCTGTCTGTCAGCAGTAGTTCTAGTCTAGGCTCGCTCTCCACCACGAGTAGCAAAGGCTCGCTCAGTTCAGGTCTTAGTTTTACCGACATTTACGGTGGCCCTCAATGCGTAGGTGCTCCTAACGTAGAAAAACCTATAGATATGGCTGATTTACACAGAAGAGTCGAAAGGCTTCTGAAAACAGACAATACAATTCCTTCTCCGGTAAGATCACAACCCTCGTTATCACCGAGAAGTTCGCTGTCGTCAGTTTCTCCTCCAGTTTCACCCATGTACGAGAACTTACCCTGTTTCTTGCCGCCGCCAACCTACGAGCAAGTGGAGAAAGACAGGAAGTTGCAATCCACAGAGCAGAGACTCGACGAGAAACTGCTTGAACTGAAACTGTCCTCCAACACCAACAGCAACGAATATATAAACTATACTCCTCCGAGAGTGTCGATTCCGAGCCTAACGCCGCTCACGGATCTCCTCGAAGCTCAAGCCACTAACATGTCGCAAGGTTCGGGATTGGGAAGGCCGAGCCGATACTCGTACGAAAGCTCGGGAGATGCTCCGTTATCGCCGATTTCTGAAACGCCACCTCCTATGATAGACCAGGACGAGATGCTGCAAGGTGCGGCGTTATCCAGGACTTCTTCGTCGGGTACGAACACCAGGTCGGTGTCTGCGGCTGTCAGCGACGAGTCGGTGGCCGGGGACTCTGGGGTGTTCGAGGCGTCGAATAGAAGAAGAGCGTCGGGCGTGTTCGGCTCGAATATCGACACCGACACGGCACAAGTACAAATTAAGTTAAGATACGTGGTTGCTGATGGGGTGCTTAGCGTGACCATTGAGAAAGCGAGAAATTTGAGCGCCTTGATGATCGACGAAAATTCGCAAGTGTAAGTAATTTTTTTCTTTTTTAGTAAAATCACGGCCAGATTAATCTATAAATTAAAATGAACGGAATTTCTAATATAATGAAAATAGATTCTATTAATTCAAATTTACCAGTAGCGTTCGTATACTGAATGTTTCCTAAGTAGTCTAAAAAATTTCAGGGTGTGATTCCTCATATACCCTGCGGGTCATCCAATTTATGTGGTCTGGATTTTAATGCGTGTGACAGAGAATAATATAAATGACCAGTTGACAGACAGAGAGACAAAATCAAAAGCGGCATACAGTGTTGCCGGTTTTTTACTTTTGTAGGAAAATATAAGCTATTTTAAAAACTTTCATGCATACTACTGAAATGATGATTAATATACAGGGTGGTCCGAACTGTATTCCGGAAACTTCGGCAGCATATTCTGCAAATTAAAATAAGTAAAAAAGTTTGTATAAATGTATATCCTAAAATGCTTAGTTTCGGAGATACAGGGTGTAGAAGTTTCATTTTTATTTCGATAAACGAATTTCAAATAATTTCTGAAATAACGTCAATATTTGGATGAAAATTGGTATCTGGGAGTTTTTTGACATGAAATTTTTTATTTTAATGCCAATATGAATCCTACTTGTAGAGGGCGCCACCTGCATATTTTTTAACTGGTTTGAAAACTAATAACTTTTCGTCCGCGCCTGTATAAAACTAAAGAGTAAAAAAATATACATTTACGACGTTTTTCACGTAAGAAAGGTCTCTTGGTAAAAATCGCTACGACTAATGGTTCTCGAGATATTTCGAATCTAAATTATCAATACCTGTCATCATTGACATAAATTAAACACGTTGACTAAATAGTTATTAGACTGAAATCATAAATTTGAAATGTTTTTGTGCTAAAAGTTCAACAGAAACTATTTTATCATAATTTTTTGCAGAAAAATTTATGATCAATTTAAAAAAATAAAAATTTCCCAAAAATGTATTATTTCAGTGAAATAACTATCTACTCAACGTGTTTATTTTTCGGCAATAATGACATGTATTGACTATTTCCATTTGAAATATCTTAAGAACGGTTGTTCGGAGCGATTTTTACAAAGAGGTATTTTTTACGTAAAAAGTCACAGAGATGTATATTTTTTTCGCTCGGCAGTTTTATACAGGTACGGACAAAAAGTTATTACGCTTTAAAACAGTTAAAACACATGTAGGTGGCGCCCTCTACTAGTAGGAATCATATTGACATCAAAATCAAATTCCTCATGTCAAAAAACTCCCAGACACCAATTTTCAACGAAATATTGACGTTATTTCAGAAATTATTTGGAAAAAATCGAAATAAAAATGAAACTTCTACACCCTGTATCTCCGAAACTAAGCATTTTAGGATATACATTTATACAAACTTTTTTACTTATTTTAATCTGCAGAATATGCTGCCGAAGTTTTCGGACCACCCTGTATATATAAACTAAATATAATATATTACAGCTGTAGTAAAATGAGTAACTACTAGTGAAAAATAAAGTTCCAACCTAATTCCAACTAAATACAACATTTTTCGTAAACGCCTACTTGTTCGGTTTGAAATTTTGATGCAAAATCCGGCATTACCGCATAGAAGAAATGTGTCGGCCCAATTTTTATCTCTTTTTAATACATTTGAATTTGTATTAAGCTGTCTACATCACTGTCTTACACGTTAAAATCCACACCGCACAGTTTCGATGACCAAATCGGTATATTTTAAGAGAAAAATGTTTATATAAAAGTGGGGCCTAAAGTACTTTGAGTTTTTAATCTAATTTCTCGCAATATGCCGGCAACTACTTTAGATATTTTCTTCAATTTTGGTATGTGTAAATAGATGTGTGTAAATAGATGGTGCCCCACTGCTTATTTCGAGAATTTTTTTTCTTGATTGTCCATCCACAACAATTAAATTCATTTTTCTTTATTTTTAAAACCCTGTAAATCAAAAAGGAAGTACTTTAGACCCCATGTTCATATAAACTTTTTTTCTTAGAAATGAAAAATTGAAAAGTATGAAAAATCACAATCTAATTTTGTTTAGATTACTTAAGAAACGCCCTGTAAATAATTACCTAATTATCTTTACCTGTTTACAAATTAAATTTAAACCATAAATATAGTCTGTGAAACGAATAACTTTGAATTTGACAGTTCCCGCGGGCTTTTCTAGTGTTAATTTTATTAGGTTAGCAACTTGCGGCCATGCTGATGCAATGCCGTCTCTAATAGAGCAGCCTCGGAGCGAGATTTATGACGTCACGCTAACATAATTATTCCTTATAATTGACTGTGGCTGAAATCGTACTCCATAGTCAACGTAGATAGTTTTAGTGTTAAGAATAATAATTAATTTTAAAAAATATGTGGTCATCTTTTGACAAGTGTATATTAGTTTATTAATTGCAGTAAACATTATGTGGTGTGTGGTGTGAATATTTTATATGCAATTTTTTGGATTATATTCGACACTATTTTTTTTATATGACACAACACTGATGAAATCTATAATGTTAGCGGAAACGTTTTTTTTTAAACCAAAAAAGATAATGAAAAACCAAATGAAAACTTAATCAGCGTTTTTCCCGAACCTAAATCCCAAGAAAATCAAAAATTTTAGAATAATTTTACATTATAAAATGACAGCGATCTTAATTTCATAGCCATCGCTAACGCATTTTTTCTATGATATTGTATTATTTTCAAATATAATTTTTCGAACATTGATACTTGCAAAATATATGTATATATAAATTTTGTGAATGCAAATAATAATACATCACTATTAGTATATATTGAATGTTTTTTGTTAAATTAGATCGATTTTCAAACCCCAAAATTTAAAATATATTTTACATTTTACCCATTATCTTATGTACCTATTCATTATTTGTATATTGTAAAACATTTGTTGCATTTGTATGGTTCAGTTTATTTGCCAACGTATTTATTACTATAAATAGGTATATATATTATATTTATTAACTGTATATTATGTATATTTCATGTAAACTATATCATTTTTAAAATACAAACCAGAAATACGAGGAATAATTATGTTTTCCATGTATTCTACAACATGTTTATTAATCCGTATCTAATTAGCGTGACGTCATAAATCTCGCTCCGAGGCTGTTCTATTAGAGACGGCATTGGTCTGATATTTAGAAATGTCAAAAGCTGATGACATTTTACTTTTGACAATTATGCCATTTCGTGTTGATTTTTACAAGAACTGTCACTTGTTTTATTATTTTCCTTTTCTATTTCACGAAAGTAAAAAGAGTTACCTATCTGATTCGTTCAGGCACTCAATTTAAAGAATATCAGTAACTTTTTTGATAGAGGGATTTTATATTTGCCATGTTGGTAAAAAATAACGGTCAAAATTCAAAGTTATTCATTTTATAGACTATACAATTTTGTAGTACAAGATGTAAATTTGTAAAATTCCATGTTTTTTCCTCAACTTTACTCACAATGCTATAATTGATAAAATCAAATCACAGGGAAAGCTTCTAGTGGGTACACTGGTTTTTTATCCGTCTTACCTGACAGGTGAATTGTTATATGTAGACGGCACTTTAAACCTTACTTCTTTTAATTTTATACTTATAATTTATTTTCTGTCTAATAATCGAATTATTTATTTCAGGTATATAAAAGCAGCTTTGTTACCTTCCAACCCACCCCAGACCTGTTGTACGAAACTAGTGAGCGATTTAAAGAAAGCAAATTTCGGGGATACATTCAACATTCCACTTGTAGCCAACAAAATATTTACCAAAACGTTGCAGGTAAATGTTTGGAGTAAGCTGGACAGTCAACTAGAGATGTGCGTGGTGAGTAATGTCAATTTATAAATTATTCAGGAGATATGGCAACAATATTTTGACAACTGACAGTTAAACTGTCATAATAAGCGTTTATGCAGTATTTTGATATTTTGAAAAAGCTATTTGTCCTGCCTTCCGTGGATATTTTTTTCGGTTCATTTTAACCCATAAATTCCATAGGTTAGTTTTTTTGGCTCACCCTAATGTATAATTTAACCAAAATTATCAAATTACTTGACTCAAATTTGACAAAAGGGAAAATACAGAAATAAAAAGTTAGGTTGTCATAACCGGACTTTGTCATATCTTCCTATTATTACTTGAGTAAATTATATAGCAATTTTTAAATTAATATTCTCTTTTTTTTATTAAAGGGTTGCATCCAAATAAGCTTAGCTGACTTCAATGTCCATAATCCGTCACAAAAATGGTACAACATTCTCTGTCTCCAGGAGGAAGCCCAATCGTCTACGGCTTCCTTCAGCAAACAGACGCTCGACGCGTTATCTTCGCGTGACCGACAAGAAGATACGTCCTACAAACAAGTAGGAAAAGAAGAGAGTTCGGACGATTCCACGATTATCTCCTCCCAAACGAGTACACTAACCAGAAACCAGGAAACTGTAGTTCCTCCTGTAGTAAACTTGAACTTTGAGGAACTATATAATTGTCTGAAAAACACCGCGGAATATGATAGCGCCGATAATTCCGATGAAGAAGACGAAGATATAGATGAGGAAGAAGAGGAAGATGAAGCTCTACAGTTCCGTCCTAACGAAAAATTAGACGTGGTTCATGAGCATTCTGATGACGAGGATAAATACTCCGATAAACAGACCAATACCGAATGTGCCTTTTATCCAGAACAAGCCAAACATATGAAACTGGTAGCTCAGGGAAGTGTTGAAGACAGGGGTGCTATAAAACGCAGTCAAACTTTCACGCCAAGTGCTCAAGTGTCCAAACAAGAATACATCTGTAAACTGAACAGGAGCGACAGTGATAGCGCGATGCCTCTGTATAGAAGAGGAAGCAAACCCTTCGAACGGTACGCAGTGGAAAGGCGGTCTTTAAGATTCCGCAGGCCTTCAATGGCCCAACTGACGACCAGCAAGTCTCACTCTCACATCCCGCAAACGCCCAGAACCTCGATCGACCTGGAACTGGATCTGCAGGCGCAGCACACGCGTTTGGACATGCTCGGTTCCGAATTGTTACGATTGAGGGAGTTGAAACAAAGGCTGGAACTGGCCAAAGAGCAGGGAGATTCGGAATTAGCCGCGTACCTTCTCGAGAATCAGCAGTTCCAGAACTTGATGGCTCAGGCTGAGAAAACGACGAGAACACCAGAAGAGAAGAAGGTCGAGAAAATGCTTAGGAAAGTGTCGAAGGAGATTTATAAATTGAGGAAAACGAAAGCGGGGAATGGGAAACCTGATGTTATTTCTTTTAAGTAAGTCTGAATTTTATTTTATTTGAGATATGACAACTATATGCGGTATTCCTAGATCATATAATATACTTACTTGGATAAGTAAATATTGTTATCGGGATACTGTCTTAAACATATCAACGACGTACTATTTCCTTATTTCTTTTTTGCACACTGAACTTGAAATACTACCATATCTATCATTGTCAGGAACTATTGTTAATTCGCCAAATTTGAATATGAATTTTAAAAACTTATTAGATGTATGTATATGAAATTATAATAAATAAAATATAAATAGACTTAAAATTAACTTATAACTGATCACACTGGCATCCTTTGCCATATCAAAGTTTGAAAATAAAAAAAAATGTTGTAGGCAATAAAAATAAGGTTATGAGTTTTATGAAAGATATACCTATGTAGGAAAACGATTATAATATACCCGAGGCCTACGTGAATTTTATGGCCGCAATATTGGACAATGTGACGTCACAAGATGAGGGTCATATTCGATTCGGATCCCGCCAGATAAGTATTATTTTAGTAACAAATAAAGTACAACTGGAGCTTTCTATAAAAATAATTTATTGAAAAAATAAATTAGAAATTGTATGCAAATGGTTAAAGGTTAGAAAAACATTTTTATTACATTAGTACTATAAATTTATACCTAATCTACTGACGGTTTTTTTATTATTTTAAAAATGTGAGTAATTTCTTGTTTGACAGAGAATATATACGGTTGACAGACAGAGAGACAAAATAAAAAGCGGTATACAGTGTTGCCGGTTTTTACGTTTGTGGGAAAATGTGTGTAGAAGAATATAAATTATTTTAAAAACTTTCATGTACACTACTGAAATAAAGATAATATATCTAAGCTAAATATTATAATTCATTACAGCTGTAGTAAAATGAGTAACTAATTGTGAAAAATAAAGTTCCAACCCTAGATGTAACATTTTTTTGGAAACGCCTACTCGTGCGTTTTGAAATTTTGATGTAAAATCCGGCAATACCGCATAAAAAAATATATCAACCTAACTTTTTTCTCTCTTTAATACATTTTGATTTGTCATTAAGCTGCCACATCACTGTCTTACACATTAAAATCCAGTCCACATTTCTAAAATGATCAGGTCGGTATCACAGTTTAAAGAATATAAATATATCAGTTGGCCCACTCTAAGGAATTCTATTGTTATTTTGACTTCAAAGGCGGCCCGTGACCCTTCGAGGTGACAAAAAATTTGTACGTTTACCGGGTGCAGCGGACGTGCTATTTTATCAGCCAGAACGCTGGCCGTATACGAGGGATCAACTAAAAATACTAAGGAATTTTAATATAGCAAGTAGAAAAATAAAAATACAGTACTAGTTTTATTGATTAACAGTTTTAGGCGTCTTTAATAATTATTGATCAATATTTATTAGTATTTAGTATTAAATATACATTAATATTAAAATATTAGATATATTATTCTATCCTAATTCTTTATAATATGGAATTGTCAATAGGGTAATTATTATTAATAATTATTATGGAAACCCCATATAAAAAATGTATACTAACTAAATATAATAAGTTAATTTTTTTAATATATATACTAATAATTTGCATATTTCTTAAATTATAGCATGTTTTGCTTTATAGATGTTTGCATTTTACTTTAATTACCTACCCGGAAAGCCCAAATTTTATCGTAAGGTAATAAAGTACCTTTGCATACAACTTGTGTTGCCATTGTCCATTTTTTTGGATTTTTTTCTAAATTTTATGATTATCATGAACAGTAATTATGACTGTTAGTAGTTAATTGTGTAATAAATTTTACTGTTCGATAAAATTTAGTAAAAACTGAAAAAAAATTGACTATTGCAAGACAAGTTGTATCCAAGTACTTTTTATTACCTTTTAATAAAAAGGTAGATAATTCAAGTTAAATGCAAACAGCTAAAAAGCAAAACATGCTATAACTTAAGAAATATGCAAATATAATTTATTACACTATTTACTAATTGAAGAGCACACGGGAAAAATAATGAAAGTACCAAAAAGCTACACCTTTTGGTACCTAAATAAACGGGAATATCGATAACGGCCACATAGAAAACGGGCATTTAAAAATGGGAAAAACGATATAATCTCGGATATAAAAGTCCATGCGTAATTTCAATTAAAAAAAAAAACGGTTTCCTGAACATTTATCATTTCTGGATACTCATCGTTTTTCCCATGTGCTCGTCAATTGTTATATTTACTGTTACATAAAATTTAGTAAAAACTCTAAAAAACTTGTCAATAGCAGAAGAAGTTGTATGCACGTATTTTTATTACCTGACGATAAAATTTGGACTTTCCAGGTAGGTAGTTTGTTAAATACAAACATCTAAAAAGTAGAACATGCTATTTAAAAAAATGCAAATATCTTAAATAATAATTTAATATGCACTTTGCAAACCGGTAAATACTGCAAAATCCAAAACATAATAGTAAAGTATCTATTACTGCTCTATAATATCTACTAAAATAATAAACTAATTGTTAAAAATAAATATTTTGTGCATATTTCGAGTAAAATATTTTTTTAATTTATATGTATATTTTTAAAACCATTTTTTCACAGTTAGGTTTCCATAATTATAATATACTTAATATGTCTAATACTTTAATTATTACATATCGTGGGCGTACAAGGAAAACCACGTAAGTCCAAAAACTAAAAAGGTGAGAAAAAGTGATTTTAATGTTTGAAGTGATCTGTAAAATCCAATTTTATTTTTTGACTGCACTAAAAGAAATCGTTTGACATTAGGGTTATTTAGGGCTATTTTAGGCTAAATTAAAATACAGGGGTTTTAAGAACAAATTGTTTATTGACATTTTTTTGAACAAAACAACTAAAACACCATTTTTGGTTCACCCTATGCGTCGGACCGAAAACAAAACTAAAATAAACTTGGAACGCTGTGTACACGTCGAGCAACGGATGTAGACTGACCCAAGTCTACAAGACAGGCAGGGAGCGGCGGGAGGAATTTTGATACGGGCGAAGAGTGGGTCAACTGATATATTTATATTCTTTAAACTGTGTCGGTATGCTCTAGGGCAATATGTATTTATTTATTTGTTCAAAAAATAGAATAAAATGTTAGTTTAAAATGCCGTTTAGACTTTTAGATAATTTGCGCAAACTCTACCAATAAATTATAAAGTCGTAATTGTTAATTTGTACAGTTCAGAAATTTGGCTTGAGTAAAATGTGTCTCGTCTCGATTTTTAACTGAGCGTTACCACGGTTTTAGAAATTTTGAAATTTGTTGGCTAAGATTTAATGTTAAAGTAGGTTGTTTAAATAAAAACTGTCAGACACAAAAGCACAAACTAACTGAATATGTAAACGAAAAAATAGGTATGCTCCAATTTTGTACAGTTTGGCTTGCACAAACCAGTTCGCAAAAATTATCTGTGAGTCTCGGCCCTTCAGATATACTCTTTTCTTATACTAAGGGTCGGCATTTCTGGTCTTGGGTGCCGGTTTTCGTGTGTACGAAGAGTACGGTCAGCACGCTTAGTAAAATAAGATGTACTGAATAAAGACAGAAGGCGAGTATTTTCCCAAGCGCATGGAATCTAGCATCAGATTAAGTAGTTATGTAATAAATACTCCGTATTTTTGCTCACTCCGACTTACTAGATTGCCATAACGACTAACGATAAAGTTTTGCTTGCCAGTGGGGTATTATAAACAATTATGGTATATATTTGGATTTATTAATTAAAATTTAATACATATATTCTTATCGGAAAATTATGAATAGTGTTGCTCTTCTGATTCACTTGTTTTAAATAATAGGGTAGGGAATCCAGAATTACTACAAGGCCTTTCTTAATATATCTTTCTATTTTATGGGCAAAATCTATATTCCATTGCTTTTTTTTTCAGGGAAAAAATGGCATTTTTTACAAGAACACAGACAAACGTACCTTTTCTTTCTGAGGAAGGATGTCCCGAGTATGAAGGAAAATCGAGCACAAGTCAGGAACAACAACAAACTAATAATGAGAGGAATAATGAGACGAGTCCTGATAGTAGCAATGATAGTACAGGTGAAACAAATAATCCGCCATATAAGTATATTGTAGATAGAATAATGGGGGTAGAGGTATAAGACATAAATAGTCCAAATTTAATAGTATGTATTCTTTAAACGTCTCCTTAAAATATTATTTATTTGTTTTATTCCTTTTTTTTTTTCAAATAAGATAAGAATGTGAACTTTAGATTTTTCTTCTTTTTGCTAGTTGTATACCTAATACTCAAATTTAAGAAACATAGTTATTAGACACGTTAGGTTACTACAAAAATAAGTTTGAATAAGACTGGCAATACTAATAGACATAGGATGATGCTACAGATATATGATATACAACTAGCAATTTTATATTAATTTTAATGAAGTGCGTATGTTTGTAAACCTAAAAATATTTCTTTATTAAAGTATTAGGTTTGTCATATTATTATTTATCTGGTATTAATTTTAGGGATCGTTATTTTAATGTTTAAATATACATTAACAATATGATTCCTAAGTCATGTGATGTAAAAGTCGATTTTTTGACTATAGAGAAAATCAAAATTAAGTTTAATTTTATTTTTAACAAATTAACAATAATTAAATGTGATCCATAAAGTTTGCAGATCTGATACGTTTTTCGATTGTTAATACTCAATCTTGCAACTAATTTTAAAAATTCGTCTAGATTGGAATATATTACTTTGTACTTCTAATTTATCTAGAAGATATGATAATCATGTGCTTTATACTGTTGCAATATAGGTGTGTATCACTTTTATGTTATTTTAGTACAATCTCTTTTTTTTACTTTGTTACCATATCTTTTTTTAAATAACGATACACAAAACATTGTTCTCTAGAAGCTGTAACAGTCCTTCTACTGAATGATAACTGTCATTTTAAGAAGCCATAGTTTTTTACTGTCGAATGTAAATCTGTCTGGTTCATCTAAAGTCATACTGTATTAATATCTAACAAATGTCAACATATAAAGTGGACAAATCTTGATCTATTTCAATATTAACTTTGTGTGAAAAGCAAAAATTGGATGTAAATATTTATCAGATAAGATAAATTGAAAATACGAAGACACAAAAATATATTAACTTTCTGATGACATTATTTACTTATATGAAAGTTTTTTAAAGTTTATTTTTTCTGGTTTATATTAATTAGTTTAAAAATAATTAATATTTTGAGTCTTTTGTAACAAACAGACAACAACGAAGAGTTAAGACAACAATATATGGTATTACGGGAGGATTTATTTTGAGATCTGATATTAAGCGAACGCTCTTACACACCGGATTTCGAAAAGGAAGCGTCTCAAACTCCAAGCGAATCTCCCTTCACTCTACCTTCATATGTAAATAATAGTATGAATCACATTGACTCCGCGTCCACCGCCAAGGAAGCCTTAGGAAGTGAAGTTCGAGACGCTTCCGCTTCGAGTTTGAAACGACCCGTGTGTGCACGGTCTTAGTGTTATAATAAGCGTTTATGCGGCAATAACGTTACATCATACAATATTTGCGTAGAGAAGACGCCATGCGGTATTTTGACATTTCTAAAATGTAATTGAGATAATAAATACATTAAAAAAAGTATATTTTTTTGAATATTACAATCAATTATAGGAAATAAGCATAGTTCAATTTATTATGCATGCTCTTATTGGAAAATTATGAATACAATTATTCACTTACTTGAAATAATACGGGAGGGAAACCAGAATTAGTACTTCAAGATCTTAGTATAATTCAAGTAAAACACTATCAAATTTCTTGACCAAAAACCAACAAAATATAAAATATAAAGTTAATCTAAGATCGATTTTACAGATTGTCATACTTCAAAAATCAATCTACGCTAATTTGTGGTGCCAAAACTCTATTTTCTACAAATGTAAATGTCAAAATAATGTCTGTCTTAATAGCGGAATTGTGGCAGTATTGGACTTTCCCATATCTTTCTAATATCTAGTAACAATTCCTAAGGACCGTTTGACACGGGATAATATTCCAGACTAAATTGTATACAATTTGTTGCGCGCGCACTTTTAGGCAAATTGCATGCAATAAAATAGAACATGTTCTAAATTCTTGCATGCAATTAGCTGAACATGCGCAATACATAATTTCATTTCTCTGCTTTTGTAAGGTTATGTTTATGTTATATTTGTTTGTTATGTTAATTGTTTTCAAATGATATTTTATCCATTCTTAGAAAGTTTTTGTATGATAACGGATCTTTATGAAGCAACTCTTCATTTAACATTGTCAAAATGCCTTTAACTTTGGCTCTTCTGCCAATCCATTTCCTCTGCCAGTTTTTCTTTCTACGCATATTTTCACGATTCCGCCTTCTTTTTTTTAGTATTAATATTAACGAAATTACACCAACTGCACCGGCTACTAATATCAACTTTTCTTTTTTCTATAGTTATAGTATAGTTTATTTTCTTTTGTATTCAACAATCAACAACAGCAAGAAATTAATAACGTCAATAAATCCAGCTCTTTTCTGCGCATGTACTTGTACTAAATTTACTATCTGTAATCATGTATTGTGACATACATACATATTTCTTGTATACAATATTTTATAAAATATAACCCAAACTACTTTTCAGTTCTTAAATTTAAGTCCCGTGTCAAACGGACCTAACTCGTAAAATATGACATCCAAATTTTGTACTTACCATAGAGTTATTCTGCTAAAGTAATGGAAGATATTTATATCATAGATTAGGTATCCTATAAGTATACAGATAAAAATCTTGTCCCTAATTTGTGGTACGAAAATTGTTTTTTATGACGATGTTCAAACGAGTCAAATTTCCTGTGCGCAAAAATAAACTCGCGTAAAATAACAATAAACAGCGTAATAGAGAGATATCGCTAAACCGAATAGCGTTCATGGACGTTAATAAGGTCAGGTGTTATTTCCTTTACGTGAGGTGGTATTAACTCTCTTCATTTATAGTTATCGGATCGGAAAGAATTCTGATCGCGTCGCGTCCGCTATTTAAACTTAACCTAACTTTGAAATTGTTTTGTTTACTAGGTATTTTAAAACTAAAGGGCTAAAGTGCTTATTTCCAGTGCTTTATAGTTCAACGTCTGCCAATGGGTTTAGGACAACAAGCAACAAATTCTCTTAGAAGGGCTAAGTCGTCATCTGCTGTAAACCTAAGACTCTTTATAGGTTCTTTAGTATTGGAAGAGGTGGAATCCATATTTTGGGCCATATTTATTTAATTAAAACTAATCCAAGCTACTTAAATATCAAATTACCTAATAAAACTAAAGCAATAATTCAAAACAATTCAAATACCCGCACATGCCCATTTAAGCAATTTGTAAACGTTATCAGAGGTTATTTAGAAAGAGCGCTTGGTGTAATTGATCCGCAAATTACGTCAGGCGGTAACGTTATTAGCGGGTGTTGCGTTGACTCGCGCATATTCTAACCATCATAAGGTACGCGTAAATACTGGATGACGCTATTCGGTTTTCCGATATCTCTCTAATAACTGTGCCGGTCAGGCGCTGTGCACAATTTTAGAGGCCATAAGTGGGCGTGCTATGTGCGCAAACTAGTCACCTAACTAGTGCCCGATTCCGAAAATTGGAACCACGAAAAACAATAAAGAAAAAACAAAGATTATAATCTGTATAATCTGTGTTTATATTTTGTTTGTTATAACTCATCAAGATTTATTCACTTTACAGTCTTTACACAAGAGATTGCCTGGGATTTCTTGTAAAAAATCAATGTTACAAAACAAATACAAGTGGATTTCAGGTGAACTAATTTTTTTTATTTACATAAGTCAGTAAAAGACCCTATATATTCGCTCAACTATATTAGTTGGGCATATTTTTTTATTTAGCTTCCTTTTATGGTTATTCGTGATTTTTTATATTTTATGTATATATTATGTAAATATTTAGAGTAGTTCTAAAATGTAATATAAAAATCATTAAATGTTTTTAAAACGCAAATATACATTCTAAATTGAAAATTGTATTCTAATTAAATATTTAATAAAATATGTTTTTAGGAAATTATCTCTTATTTGTTTCATCTTAACCTATTGAGCTGACGAGATATTTAGAGAACATATTTTAGGCAAGCTAGAATAACTAAAAATGTATACTTTATTAACAGAATCCTAAGTCTGGCTGGAGGGTTGGGGGTATTTCGCTACTGCGCAACCCATAACATTTGCAAAAAAATAAATCCAAAAAACATTCTTTAGGCAAATTGAAATTTGTTTACTCTTAAATTTTAGCATCTATTTAAACTAGAAATAAGTGTGAAAGACTTTTTTTTCGGGTTTAAAGTGTAACCAGACCATTCCAAATATGTCTAATTATTATACCTGGAAAACATACTTTAGGCATTCTAAAATTTTTACAGCGTGTTTATTAGATGATATTAAAAAATATGTGTTAATTGCCAGACGAATTCAATGGGATTTAATATTTGCCAGACGCGAATAAAGATTTTAAATGAGCACGACAAAAAAGTCTTATGAGTATCTATAAGCGCGAGAAAGATAGTTTATTGAGACCCGTCGGCAGCCGATGCGGCTGACGTAACAGTATTTTTTTGGATTTATTTTTTGCCAATGTTATGGGTTGCGCAGTAGCGAAATTCCCCCAACCCCCCAGCCAGACTTAGGATTCTGGGTTCACAAGTTATTAAACTTTATTTTTTTTGTTATTCTAACTTGCCTAAAATATGTTCTCTAAATATGTCGTCAGCTCTCCGGCTATCAAGTTCTGTTTATATACAGGGTGAGTCCTAAATATATATACGTATATTTTTAGGGGTAGTATATTTCGACCCCAGGAACACGTCAACGAAGTTATTTTCGCGATTTTTTTTTTAAATTTTAAGAATATTTTCATAGTATTATGGCAATAAGAAGTATATTAAATTTACAAGAAAGAAAACCGGGATCTCTTTCTGGTAAATTTAATCAGAAAAGCTACAGGGTTCAATTTAACAAAAAAATATTTTTTTTCTTAAAATTTCAAAGATAACTCGGTTATTTTGGAGTGATTTGAGAAATATGTATATGTTTCTCTTTTATCGAGATCTACCAGCCCTGAAAATATTTGCACTTATTTAAGACTCGCCCTGTCAGTTTTACCTGTTCAGTCAAAATGTACCAAGTAAAACATTGTGTGAAAAAACAGACCGTTTTACTTGGACTGAATTAAGACGGAAGACTGCTAAGAAAACTGACTCGAGTCTCAGTCATCAGTTTTACAACAAAATTGTCGTTTTGCCTGCACTGAAAAAAAGTAAACATACAACAAGGATCCTTAAAAGGCGACTTAAAAATCTAATGTTTTTGAATAGTTTCACAAAAAATCTAATTACAAAATTGTTTAGAGATGCTTAATGATTCCTGCCAAACGATATGAATACGAAATTTAAAAACGCTAAATACAATTCCATGTTTTTTTTTCAATTTTACTAATCACTATGCCTATATTAGAACACCGAAGTTAAGCGACGTAAGGCGATAGTGGTGGATGGACGGGTGACCGGTCCGAAACTCTGTATAGTATATAAAAGTGTAAAATCTATTGATACACATTGCTCATTCACACCGGTTCGAGGCCGAATAAGATCGGATATCTCGTGAGTAAGAGTTAATTTAGACACTTCCTAAGTCGGTAGGCCACTGACCATTATATAGCCCAGGACCGCGCTTCGGATTCCGCGTAAACAAAGTAGGCCCCGTCCAGATTAGCCCTGGCAGCAAAAAGGAGACGTTAACTGAAATCTTTACTTTTTTACTTACTATGCCTATAATTCATAAAATCGCAGGTAAAACTTACAGTGTGTGCGCTAAAGCTTCATTCAGAAACCCTCACCAATGTCTTCAAAACACAATTAAAATTAATAGAATATCCTAGCAACGGCTTGCCGTAGTTAGTTGTATCCATAGAGAAAGCCTAATATTTAGGTTATAAAACAATAAACTTTTGAATTCTAACCGCAATCAACATAATCCCTCTATCAACTATGCAGAAACATTACCAGAAGAAGTAACAATTTGCACAGCGGAAATAGTTGCAATTAACAAGGCAATTATCTCCCTGTACAAACAGCTTAAAAATGTTGTAATCCTCTCAGACTCCAAAAGCGCTATTGACAAGATTCGCTATCCCGGTGTAGACACTTCAAATGACTCGATCACACTATCAACCAAAAAACTCCTAATAGAAGCAAATAATAACGGCACAAAAATACACCTAACGTGAATACCGAGTCACAAAAGCATAAGTGGAAACGAAGCTGCAAATAAAGTCGCAAATATTGGAAGGTCACTCAATGCACCCAAGAATATCAACATTGACAAAGCAGACATACTAGCAGTTATTAAACATAAACTAACAGAAGAATTTTTTCAAAAATGGAAAACAATAGCCACCAACAAGGGAGATGGTACAATACTCCAGAAGAAAAGATACAACCAACAGGACATTGAGTGAGAGTACTGTAATAATAAAACAGGACATTGTGTGACAGTACTGTACAACTACAAGCTAAAAACCATTAATCTCATCAACAAGTTTATAGACAAAAACAAACTAATACTAATACTGCCATTACTCGCTGACGCGTATTTGGCACGCATCAGAAGATGGTCACGAAGGCGTTTTCTTTCATGACTTTTTCTGTGACTGGAAAGCCCGATGCGTGATGTTATCTGCCTACCGCACTCCGGACATTCAAAAATCTCATTGCTTTGTTACCTCTTTACTTTTTCGTTGTCGCTGTTAACTGAGTTTACAATTCTTCTCCACTGAGTTCTATTGTGAGCTGTTTCTTCCCACTCATTCTGCATATTAATCCCCTTCAAGTTTTCGTGGAAAATGTCCTTGTACCTTTTCAGTTGTCCACCCGGCCTCCTCTTACCGTCTACAAAACCAAACTAGAATTATAACTTCAACTTTTCCAAACAATCCATCCTTTTCTGTTTATTTTGGCTTGCCACCACAACACCAATCCTCGTCCATCCGATCCGTACCATTTTGTGTAATGCTCATCAGCGGGCGGAAGAGGAAAGAGTCTAGACCTTTGTGTTATCCAGATATCCTGACTGATACACGTAACTAGATTAATTCAGGATCTAACATCACTGATTGCAGCATGACGAAAAGACGGACGGTCTGCAATGAAAACTAATGCGCTGGCAAATTGCACCTTTATAGGAAGCAGAGCCATAGAGCTGCCACAGTGAGGGAGATAGCTCATCATTACCACACCATACCATACCAAATGCCAAAATGACATTCTTCGCAAATTTAAAACTAGTATAACTAATGGAAAAGTTAAGAGTTTGTTAACTTTTTTCACTAACTGAAGATTACTACCACTAATTTTGACGTTGTAAATGCCTTTTTTTCCATAACAAGGGACCGTCCTTTGCCGGAAACACTGCGACCTGTGAGGCCTATTGTGTTTGTTTCCCCTTTCTATATCTGAAACCATTCGCCTATTCCCTGTACCCTGCACTAACTTATGCAGGTCCTTGATAGGATGGGAGCATAGTTCCTGCGGTTCTAGTCTAGCTTTCCCAAATAATAAGTGTCCAATGCGATCCAGAGCCTCGCAGAGTCTGCAGCAAAGACTTCCTTGATACAGGTTGAGCTTGTTCAGGTAACACTTGACAGCTATGTGTCCTGTCAAGAGGCCTGTTGTAATCCGCACTTTATTCCTGCTGAGCATTAGCAGTTTTTTGCGGTTTTAGAGCTAGGTCCTTGGACAAAAGCCTTGCTGTGCCTGTGTCCTTGTGTTGGGAATGCCCTACATTGATATTAGAGGAACACCTTTACACGCTAATTGAAACCACTAATTTATTCCAATAATTTCGAGGTTCTAAACCTGACCTAACAAACAAAACGTTACATGTGGACTGTGCTGGGTGAATCAAGTTCAGAAAGGAATCATGACACAAAAACTGTTATTAAATTTTTATATTTTACACTTTATTGCTTTTTTAAAATCGATACAATATAAGTTATTATCTCTGCATCCTACGTAAATCCTATTGTTAAAAACGAACGGTGATGAAAAGCTTTCACTAGGCAACGAACACCTGAACATAATATCTGATGTACTTAAATTAATGATGTGTAAAACGCCCATATTACTAATACAAACGGCGTAAAGAGTATTTTCATAACGATACGGAAAAGGCGTGGTCGAAATTTCTCCATCTAGTTTAATTTTTTCCGAAATTTCGCATTGGTTTTCCCGAAAGATCAGTCTGTATAGGCAAGAATCGTGCGCAGTGAAGTAGAGCGCATTTTCGACGAAAACTAACGAAGAAAATATATTTGTGCCAGTTTCAAACTTCCAATTTAAGTCGCCAGCAGATGAAATACAGTAAACGGTACCTTTGAATAAAAGAAACAATAGATTAATCTATTTTAATAAGTAAAAAAAGTGTGTATGTACTTATGACATGTTTGAAAAAGTGTAGGTTGAAATGAAGAAGAAATTCGTAAAAAAAATATTTCGATGTATGAAGACATAGATAAAAGAAACAAGTTTAGATTGGAATGCTCGGCTTGCCGCCAAAACTTATAATTGTTTTGGAGCGCGTCCGTTGTAGGGCGCTGCTATAGCGGTTGCTAAGAACAACCGCAAACAAGAACAGATATAATTTTCTCTTGTAAAAGTCAGAATCATAGGTCAGAATCTTCAAAAATTATAAAATCTTTTAAAATGTAAACCGCCCTCATTGATAAAATACCAAAAAGTGTTTAAAGCGTCCATTTTCAAAATTATTTCCCCATTGCGCTCCACCAAGTTTGTCGATGGAGGTTCCTTTTATTTTATTTTATTTAAACTCATGAAATAAAACTAAAATACAAAGTTCCAAACCTTACCTGTGACGCTTGCCCATATTATACCATGCTCAGTTATACATGGGGAGCCAAAAACTGGCCCATTTATTTTATATGACCAGTTTATTACACCTTGCTCTGTTAAAGAGTAACAATTCCCTTTAATTGTTCCAGTATAGATAATACTCGACTGGCTATTAAAAATAAGATCTGCTCTTACACCACCGCAAAGTTCAGTCTTCCATATTAAATTTCCATTCTAAAACATCTATAATTTAAATTGTTTCCTTAAGCCTCGTCTACGCTTAACGTTTCACCTGTCATGTCTCACCTGTTCATAAAACATTGTGTAGACGAAAAAAGGTCCGTTTTACTTGATCTGAATTATGACAAAAAACGTTTAGAAAACTGGGTGTGTGACGGGATCATTCAATTTTAACTAAATATTATATATGTATTATATAAATATTATAATAAAAGTATATAAGGATTCTTGCCACTTAACTGCCGATATAGAAATTTAATTCTACGCTGTGTTTGTCATAATGCGGACCAACCTGCTCTCACTACCGGTTTCGGAGCCCTACTCCATCATCAGGTGAGCTTGGACAGATCCACAAAATGACAGCCACAGCGCAGACATAGTTAATTCCGACTTGTCGGAAAGTGTCTGTTAGATAGTAAGTCCCGAACGGGAGATAGCGGCCTGCGTGCAATTTGGCTTGCCTGAAAAAAGCCTTTTACCATCTTTTTACTATCGATAGTTTCGCCTCGGTGGTACGAAAGTACTACCATTGCACGCAGGCCGCTATCTCCCGTTCGAGACTTAATATCTAACCGACACTTTCCGACAAGTCGGAATTAACTATCTCTGCGCTGTGGTTGTCATTTTGTGGATCTGCCCAAGCTCACCTGATGATGGAGTAGGGCTCCGAAACCGGTAGTGAGAGCAGGTTAATCCACATTATGACAAACACAGCGTAGAATTAAATTTCTATATCAGCAGTTAAGTGGCAAGAATCCTTATATAATTTTATTATATACCTATACTGCAAGAAATTTGTTTTCTATTTTATAAATATTATAAATGTATTTCAGAAATTAATATGTTTAGGATATACATTCATATGAAGTTTTTTTAGAATAGGTGCAACAATTACCAACTTAAATAGAAAGCATGTCATTAAGGAACAGCCTGTATATAAGTAAATTTACAAAAAATAATATAATTTTGCCAAAACGTTTAAAGATGTTTAATGATTATTACATTATTACCCAATGAATATTTTCACAATTAGGTTTGCGTGTTTAGAAATAAAATTTAAACCACATAAATACATTTTTGTCGTAAAATTCCATGTTTTTTAAGCTTCACTAGGCACAATGCCAAAACCTTAGATCTTACGTTATGTCTAGATAGGGTTTCCGTCAACAAAACTGCCGTCAGTCCTCTAGACTCTAGACGATCTTCCGTTTTGACTGACAGGTTAAACGTTATGTGCAGATGGGGCTTTAAATACAATATTCATATACATACATATATAGATGCAGAGTACACGAAATTGTCATATGATGCAAATATCACAGATGTTCCCACGATACACGGACTAGATCTTGTCTTGTCTCTAGTTGTGTAGTCCCAAATGATCTGCTTTTTTTCAAGATCAATGCAGTATATGATACCATTTCCACAAGCAATTACAATAAATTTTTTACATGGAGAAATGCTGGGTTTAGCTTCAATTTCAGCAGGGAATACAAACTTAAAATACAGAGTACCATCTTCACGCGTTATTGTAAATATATTTGAGAAACTCCCCACAGCAATGTACACAGATTCTCTAAAATATATATTTTTTTTTAACATTAATTTTAATTTTAAATAACAAGAATTATTGTACCTTTTCTTGAATACAACAGGCGACGAATCAACACAGCCTTTCAAGTCATATTTCCAAATAATATAATTATCACAATTAAGAATTCCCGAATTACTTTTTTTCTGAAGAGGTTCAAGTTTATTAAGTCTTCTTTGCTTTAATTTCATATTTTTTAAATATAATAAACAAGCTTCTATGGAATTATTAAACAATACTGTTGCAAATTCGCCAAGATTATCTGTATCAAGTTTGTACTGAAGTTCAGATAATACTTGAATAGCTGCAAGCGAAGTACCTCCCAACTGAACAAACGTATGTTTAATAAGACTTCCTAAAAGAACCTCCTGTTCAATACATAGATACTGATTTAAAATGCTTAAAAATGCTTCACTCGCTGGTATACTATCTTCAGAACGTACTGAATCGTTTTGATAATATTTCTTTAATTGTCTGTCACAAATTTTACCATGTGGATTCAATGGAAAACGAGACACTACATCAATAAAATCGGGAACTTCATTTTCACTAAGGATCTTTATCAATTTAACTCTTAATTTATCTATTAACTGTTTTCTGTTTTTATTATCGTAATTATCCATTAAAACAAAGCATAATATCTTTTTAAATTCGTTTGAATAAATTAGTCGACTTTTCAGACCAGTATTTTTAAATATAACATCTTCTATATGGTCTAAGTTAACTTTATGTCCGAAATGTTTAATAACGCGGTTCTTTCGACCTCTATAAAATAACTTTTTATTTCTTAATTCCCCTAAATCTCCTGTGTTTACAAGAAATTCCGATTCTTGTAATCTTTCATCGTTATTTATTAAACAAAATCTACTTTTACTTCCTAAAAAAAATATCGTTGGTTGGCATGAAAATCGGCACTGACATCATTCTTGCCGATTCTTATGTAAAATAACCCCCTGAATCCAAATATGACATACATTCTCCCCCCATCAACAACCGTTTTCGGAGGAGAGTCCCCTACCAATTTTGGTTTGGTACTGCTTTTTAATTGTTTGGTACGATGAAAAGGATAATTTTGTCCTCTACATTGTTATTTCTGTCGATTTTTCCGTTTATATGTCGCATTTTTTTCGCTTACATATTTCAGCTTATAGTAGGTAATAAATCTACCGTACTGACAACTGTTACTTTTGGCAAAGAGTAGATAAGAGATAAGACAAGAGACGACAGTTCGCGCGGTACCTTTTATGTTTGCGTGTTGGGGAGAGTGACCTCGTCTCGCTTGTCCCTTTAAATTTTCGTAATTTCTTCGCGGAAAATTTGAAATAGACTATTATTAAAACTTGCCTGTATAGCTTATAAATAGTTACTGTATGGGTAAAGAAATAAATAGAAACAAAAAAAAATTAGTTTTCTAAATATTATATAAAATAAATTTGTCGGGGAATAAAGATAATAAAAGCAATATTTTGTATATCATTGGTAAACAAGATAAAGTGACCAAGTCGATTTGTAAGAAATGTTTTATTTACGTGTATTTTTTTTACATATGGACTTGAACAAGTGTAATATCACAATGTGGAGTTTATGTACAAAAAAATAGAGTTGCTCAATTTTTTTTGTAAAAATATATTACAAGCTTCTAACCATGTCTTCGATCTATGGATTACATTTAGTTTAATAACATAATTATATAGTATATTTCTATAAAAATACTTTTCAGGATCCTTTGGAAAAGAGTGAAATATTATGTTTGTCGAAGAATAAGACCTTTTTTTGCAGTCTTTATAAGCACACACATTGCCACCATCTTGTCTTTCCTGGGGTGCAACTTTTCATGTTTCAAAGCGATAGCAAAGTAATTTGTAGCTTGATGCACTATGTTCAGTAGCAACATCGATTCGTAGCGATATTCTGATTTCTCGCTTTGTGGCGAGGCGACAGTCTAGACGTGTGCAAGAGTGTGATAGTTGATACCATATTTCGCAGCATTTGAGCGACAATAGTTTTACAATGAACATGCTATCGATCTGGTTTTGACATCGCTTCTAAACGATCGGATGCTAACTTGAACAAAGTTGCACCCCTGCTCTACTCATGTCCTGTTCAGTATTCATATTTAACAATAATTACAAATTAGTACGCAACAAAAACGATACTAAAATTAAACCTTAAAAAGTCTCAAAACGATAATATATCGAAAAACTCTGAAAACACACTTTAAAAAGGCAAAAATGCAAGGAAACAACTAATCAGATTTGTTTATGTTTAAGCCTGATTAGCACAGCTGATTAGCGTCCTAAAATCATAGGTTAGAATAAATAAAATACGCCGTTGTCAGATTTTCAGATTTTATCTGTTTATCTTTGAAACCGATCAACTTTATTCTGTTTCTTTGATATTATCAGTACATTGCGAAAAAAGAACCTAAACCAACCTAAACTAAAAATTTACATTTCCGTATTACCATACGTCACTTATATCCTTCTTATATTATTAATTTATTTTCAGAAAATATTGTTTATTTTTCAAAGAAATATACTTGGCAACAGACAAAATGGGACTTGATTGGACCTTTAAATTTTAATATATCTTCGTCTCTATCGCGAAATTCGACTTCTTTGTTCACTGTCGTCTCTTGTCTTATCTACTCTTTGCTTTTGGGTCGATATATCGTGTAACTTTTTTATTTATAAAGATTTTTTACATACTGTCTGCGAAGAAAATATAGCTGGAATGTTAAGAAAGTTTTTGAAAAAAACTACAATCAATTATTTCTATAGATTTGGAGATATCGATTTTTGAATTTAGAGATTTAATAGCGCGGCCACTGTCGAACACCAACTCAATTCCACTTATTTTTACTAAACATGCAAGTGTTTCTAAATTGCACTTAAAAATTTTCGTATACAGGGTGAGTTTCCTACGATGTTCGCTATGGGTATCTCGGAAACTACTGGAGATAGAGAGTCGGTTAAATGGGGAAAGAATTGCAGCTATTTTAGACAAAAAGTTTTCAGATAAAAGTTGTAGATAATCACATTCTTTATGAGACTGTGTCCTCCGTTTTCTACAACATGTATAGCAACATGTTGCTACATAGATACTAATAAATTTTGCGATAAAGTTTTACTCCTGGTTAGAAAAATGTCGCCCGCGATCCTTTGGTCCCGCGAAGGAAAATATTTACTTTCCGCCCTTATTGCACATCAAACTCGCATTGATCAAACAGTTTGTGAAACCAATGAAAAAGACAGTTGCCGCATTTCAAAAGAGCAAAAGCCAAGAAAGGGGTTCTTGGGGATCACCGGATTAGACAGCTTTTCAAAATTCAACGTGTATTGAATACTTGAATCAAAAATACAAACGAGCTTTGTTTGCATTGAGAACTTGTTGGCAAACATGTGTAAGAACTTTTTCGGTAACCACAAAAGCGATAACGATTGTGTCTCTCAGGTCGAGGAATTGCTTTTAACATACAAGGCGACGGGATGTACTGTGTCTCTTAAAGTACACCCACAGAACTTTTTCCGTGAAAATTTAGGTCAATCTCGGATGAACACGAGGAACGGTTCTATCAAGACATAGCTAAACTGAGGAAGATCCTTTCAGGGAAATGGAATGCAAGCATTTTGGCGGAGTATTGCTGACTTTTGGGAAGAGGGAGTTGCACTTCAGGCTATAAATGGCAAGAAATAAAGGTAGATATCTTTTTATTTATTGTTGTTTACAGCTAAAATAATTATTTTCAGCTCTTCAAATTAAATTCATATCTATAAAATTATTAACATTATCAAAGAGTAATAAAAAGGGAGGCTTCCTTTGAAAATGGTCGGTGTTAGAAGAAACCGGGAGCTATATTTGGATTCAGAACATCATTTTACATAAGGACCAGCAGAAATGGTACCATGGCTCGAGATCGTTTTCGTAGATCAGTGTATTTAGATGACAATTTCAAAATTTGAAGTACCTACCTACCTATATAAATCTCCCCTATTCCATTTTCTATTTTCTGGCCATTTTCACTAAATAATTCAATAATGGTCTCGTCTAGTGGATCTCCAAGTGGTATGTAATTGTCGCGATTAAAATAGTGTGGGACTTGAAAAATACTGGCCCAACAGGACAACTCTGATATACCATATAAATTAAAAATCTTTAATGCCTTATTTATTTTATACTCCAAAAGTTCTAAAGGAAATGGTTCACCACCCAGTGCTAATATTTTCAATGTCAAACTCTGTAACATATTAGCAATATGTTCATGACTAAACCTGAAAAGTTTACAAAAAATAGATAGATATATAGATAGACGAGTAATAAAATTGAATCATGAAATTTGATTAACCGCTTTGAACACGGTTCGTTCAATTGAATTGAACGAACGAGTCATAAGAATATAACTTTATCACAATGCGACTGGTTCGTTATTAGTTATTTTATACTAATACCAATTTTATATATTAGTAATAAAATAAACTATAGTTTAACACCGCATTCATAATTGTTAGAGCTCGAACTCACTGACGACCAGGTCGCAACGACCTGGCCGTCGGCTGGCCGGATGTATTGCGCTTTTAGCTGCGGCCAGACGAACGACCAGTTTCAACAGAGTTGTCAAATCTAACGGTTTTTTACGTTTTACCAATTAGAAAATATTATTTCAGAAATGTTAAAATATCCGAGTTAACTAAAAAGCGAAGTTGCTATTCACAACAAACAAAAAGCATTGTGTACGCGCGACCGACAAAAAGGGAGATATTCTGTTTCTTTTTTCTACTGATATGGCGCCCTTATCGACTTCAGAAGTAAACATATTAGGGCCATCGTAAAAAAAGATCGTCAGACACTGGCTATAAATATAAGCAGGTAGAAAGTTTAGCTTCCAGTTATTTCAATGTTTACAATATAACGAAGAATCTACAACAGTAATTACTTCTATTTTTATGAATGTTTAAGTTACTTTCTTAATTTTTTTTTTCAAAATAATGTACCTAGTAGAAATATAGTCTAATGAACCCTGTCTGAAAAATGTTAAATTAAATATAATATTTAAAACACAGTTGTCCTCCTTGTACATGACTACAATACAACTAAAAAAACAAACTTAATAAAAAAAACAAGTGGTTGTAGAAAAACTCTAAATATTATTTTTTTTTATTTTTTAACATCGAAACTCAAAGGTATAATAACAGGTATCATACCAACCATAAATAGAGTAGGTATGTCATATAAAAATGTTTTGAGTTTTTACTAGAATCAACCCTTGATAAAAAAAAGGGATTAGATTTAAGTTTACCTTTGATCCAGTCTGTATACTATTTCTTTGGATTTTCTGCACGTGTGCAAGAACTACACTAAAACACTATATCTTATAGAAAATAAAATATTGTGCCTTGAGTTTGAGGGATTTCATCTGAAAAATTATTAATTTGGAAGAAAACCGGCAACAAGCGGCAGAAAATAATAATATTTATGTGCAGTTTTCTGGTCCCAACAACCAACGGACGGCCAGGATGTTAGTGTGCGCTATATCATTTGATTTAATGGTTTTAGAGGTAGCTGCGGCCTGGCCGGTGCGACCTGGTCGTCAGTGTGTTTGAGCCCTTGGGTGGTAGTTAAAAATTATTTTTTTCCGGCGCCCTAAAAAATCCTTGAAAATGAATTGCCACTTCATAGCAAACTTCAATTGGTCGTCGGCACGTGTTCTTTTTTTTAAAACCAAAAAAAAAAAATGTTCCCGGTAATTTTTCGTCAAAAGGAAGGATAATTAAGACTAATAATGATGACGACTAATAGTTATGAATAACAAAATTGTTGATAAAATTTTGGCGATTTTAAAATACATTCGCCATTTTGAATCAATCAGCAGAAGCTTTCTGATATCAAAAATGCAAACATGGAATATTTTTCAAGTCAGTTAAGTTCCTGTGATGTGATCAATTCACTTCAGTCGTGAAAATGAGTCTTAATTTTATTAATAAAAATTTGCAATGCCTTAATCATCAATAGGCAACCAAACATAGGAGAATATCAAAATTATAATACCCTTAGTTACATCAGTGCTTATCTCTATCATATACTTATTTCTCTCCTTTTATCTTAGCAGTCAGATAGGCTTAGGCTTATAGCCCTGTGCCCTTTTAGGACCAGCCACCACTGGGAAATATTTTAATAAAGTTACCTGAATAGTAAAGATGGGACCACTTGCAAAAACGTGATACACCCTACTTGAAAAAGGGCCCTGTAGAGATAGTTTGGATTCAACGCAACAAGTTTAGGAACAACTAACAACGTTGCATGGTGAAACAAACTGAGGAGCAATTCCACAAGACTGGGATCAAATGTAAGCGGCGTACCCCAATAAATTACATCGCTGTCTATAATATTAAAATGTTTACTATAATAAAAATAGATAATTAAATTATAGCATTATATAAAATATTTTTACATACATACTTGAGGCTAATAACATTACTTCTAATACAGGAATATGGTACTCGAATAGTTTTACTGTCTCCAGTTGATCCAGATGTTTGTATAACACAAAACATATTTTTAAAATTTAATATTTTGAAATCCCCATTATCAAGAGTGCATCTCCAAAGTTTCAATTCATTATCTTTTAAAATTATCTTATCCTCTAATACACTAAACTCAACGTTTATGTCAAAAGAAAGGATCCATTTAATATTAAGGTTTTGAACCGTGTTTTTACAGACATTTTGTGTCATAAATACAAAGCAGAAATTAAGTTTCTGAAAACTATTAATTTCATAAATTTAATTTTTTTTAATAAAATTATATTATACCTTAATATTATTGGAGGAATGTATATGTTTTTATCCATAACTAATCCCACACAAATGTCTCTCTCCTTTATGTGCTCACATAAAAATGTTTGTATTTTTTCGGACAGAACATTAACGTCTTCGAATGTTAACTTTTGAAGAACACAATTTTGATCGCACAAAATTAAAGCAGTTTTTTTTTGACAACTACTTGAAGTGAAAATTGTTTTTGAAATGTTCATTTTTTCACAAGGTGAATTTTCCATTTCAAAAAAGTACCTGAAAAATTTAAGAGGTAAGAGGTTATATATATATTAGTTTAATGGCCACATCTGCCAGGGCTATCCGGCCGAAAGAGGTTATAATCTAATAAATTGTTTATGTTTTACTATATTTTTTAGGTAATTTTTAACGTAGTTTTTGAAGGTAGTTTTTAAAATTTTAAAACGTAGTTAATACAAGAAACTACGCGTAGTTTGGCGTAGTCTTTTGCTTCATAAACTACTTAACAACCCTGAGAAAGATATATGAAGTTATCTGTAGTTATTGAAATGACAACTGACAAGAAACTAAACAAAGTAGTCAAATTTTGGACAAATCTTTACATTTTTTTCCCATGAACTGACTTAAGAAAAGATCATGTCTGTTTATATTAAAAAAACTTAAATTGAAAATATATTCTTAAAAATATATAATAATTAATATTCTTAAAAAATCGACAGTAAACACATATTTCAGGCAGAAATGTGCGAGAAGGCAATGCCTATAATTTTAAATCGGCCCGTTTGAAATACCCGCGGAACTATCCAAATATTCTATTCTTCAAGACGTGTTTGTGGACGTGTTCAAGACCACGTTCAAGACAAACATAAAGATGTTGAGATGGATAAAAAAAATACAGTTATTTAAGAAAGCACGGTGTTTCTAGGGCAAGATCACGCAAGATGTTCGATATCATTTAGGTCGATTCAGTTCGCAGAGAAAATTAAGTGATATGCCTATGGTTTTTAAATTATTAATTTAAAATGAATTTTATACAAATAATTTTTTGTTTATTAACTATTGGTATAATCGCATTCGGAAGTTTAATAAATTATTTTGAAAGTAAACTACCGCACTTTTTGAATCAAACTTTTCGATACGGAAAATTCTCCGCTAAAGGAAAAAAATCCAAATTAGTGACTGAAGTTCCAAAGGCCTGGTTTAAACATTTCTATCTATTTGCAGTTTTAATATACACTTATGTATTGATTCTAGTAACAACAGTTTACATTTTTAACTGGAACGTCCCAAATTATGTTTCTAGTGCTCTAGATCAAATTTGTGGATCATCCAGATATGCCTATAGTAAGTGTATTTTAATAAATTGAATGTTGCATGGTAATAATAAAATTAAACATTTTAGCATCCAAAAATAAAGTATTTATAGCGGTTTTGTTAATGGCGCTGCAAGTATATAGAAGATTTTACGATACACACTTTATATCGGTTTTTGGGACTGATAGCAAAATAAATTTGTCACACTATTTTGCAGGACACATTCACTATCCAGGAACTGCACTTGCTATACTGTGTGAAGCTCCTATATTTACTGAAGCACCAGGTAGGTATTCTATTATAAAGAGATTAAGAGTCCAATTAATTGCTCTTTTTTCAGATGAAGTTACAAATGAAGCTCTTCAGTTATTCAATCTCTCATATTCAGAATTATTCTCGATTGTATTGTTTTTATATGCTTGGTGGCATCAGCATATCTGTACAAAACTATTAGCAGCTTTAAGAAAAAATAAGAAAGGTCAGTTAAAAAAAAATATAATGTTACCATTGATTTATTAATTTATTTACAGGAAATGTAGTAACTAACGAATACAAATTACCTGAAGGAGACTGGTTTAACTATTTATCAGCACCTCATCAGACTGCAGAAATATTAATGTATGCATGTCTGATGTGGTTGTTATGGCACAACATTACATGGTTCTATATTTTTACGTGGGTTTTATCAAATCAGGTAAACTACTACATGTTAGATGGGTAATAAATAACAAACTTATTACTTTTTAGATTGAGACAATACTGCTTAGTCATTGGTGGTATCAAGAAAAGTTCAAAAACTTTCCCAAAAACAGAAAAGCTATAATACCATTTATATATTAGTTTGAATAATATAACAATTTATTAAGCTCAAAGCTTACATTTTTCACAGACTGATTTTAGATTCTATATTTCTTTAATATTTTAAAGTAAATGTTACACTATTAAAGAACACAAAGTTACATTTATTAAATATATCACATTATGTATGTTAAAACAGATAAGATTTTCTAAAATTTGTAACTAAATGCATCCATTCAATAAATAAAAATTGAACTAAAAACAAGTTAATTGATTATATAATCATATATAATTCAATTAAGTCACTCTGAATTATTCAATAAATTGTAACAAATCCCCCAATTTTTCTAAGTAAACATCGGGTACAAGATCCTTGTCTTCTTTTTTACCTGAATCCTTCCATTCTTTTACCTCCTCTAAAGATGTAACACCACTAAGAACCAATAAAGTTTGAAATCCACATCTTGTACCCAGCAAAATATCTGTATTACATCTAAGGATATCAACTTTGTATTATCAATTCCAGAAACATCTTTGTAATATACAGAAATTTACCTGTCACCCACCATCAGTGTTTTGTTCGGATCAACACCATATTCTTTTATTAAACAATCGGCAATGTAAGAATTAGGTTTCCCAACTACTAGAGGTTCTCTTAATGCACATGTCTCCACTGCTTTAACTATTGAGCCAGTCCCAGGAATGACAATATCTGTAGGCATGGGAAACCGTTCATCAGTGTTGGTGGCAAGGAATAAACAAGTAGGTTTATTTAAGTATGTTGCAGCTTTCATCATTTTAATGTACGAGAAGTGTTCATCAAAACCAACAATTACAGCTCCGACATCTGGATCAGGATTAAAATTTTCAATTGCAACAGCTACATTTGTATTTAAAACATCGGGCTAAAAAATTCTGTAAATTAATCTAAATACTCATGTTCCTTTATACACTTACTCCTAGTCCGCTATATTTAATACCTGCGGATTCCAACTCTTGTGCTATCCCTCGAGAACCGATAAGATAAACTTTTTTTGAGAAGTTTCTATTTTTCAAATAACTTACTACCAAATACGATGTACTAATAATTTCATCCTAAATAATATATGATGATATATACACCAAGTAACTTACACAAACATTTATAATCTACCTTATTAGCAACTATGTTCATTCGTTTGGTTTTAGTGACAAATTCCTCGCGAATTTTCGTGGAGTTGTTTGTAACAAATAACACCTTTTTACCCATATTCCTTAGCCGATTTACAACTTCGGCAGAATTAGGTAGCGGGTCATTTTCAAGCCACAAAACTCCGTCACAATCGAATAGAACCGTATCAACGGAATCCAGAAACTTGAGAATATCCTCTTTTGAAAGAGACGCAAGATCTGTCAAGGATGATGCCAGAAACATCTTCGTTCAAATAATAAATGCTACACTAGGAATTTGAAAAATAAGTTTTAAGAAAATTGAGTATAACTAGTATTGCAATATAATCGAATATTTCAAGTTTGAATGACAAGCAACGGATAAGCACATCACATTTATATAACCTCTATTTGTCCTTTTTGTCAGAAAATTTTAGTTCATTCGTGTTTTCTGGAAATCAAACTCTTCCTTTAACTTTTCCAGGTTGGGATTTTGTTGATCGCGGTTCGAATTCCGCGTAAACAAAGTAGGCCCTGTCCAGATTAGCCCAGAGCAAGGGCCCAGAGATAATAGGCTTTGATTAGCCCGGCAGCAAAAAGGAGACGTTTAATTCTTGTTTCATTAAAAATTAAATAACATTAATCAAAAGTAAATGATATAGGCAACTAAGAATACACAATGGGGAAAAATATAATGTATCTGGCTTTTCTCTAATCTTGTCAATATATAAAAAAACTCTATATTCTAGAACTTAACCGAATAAAAAACTGTTGATAACATGGCTTATTAGAAATATATTTAAAAATCACAGTTATGGGGCCACCGAGGAAACGGTATACTATCTTTAATGTTATGCATTCCCAGAATAAATTGTATATATCTCTCAAAACCTAAACCGAATCCTCCTGTCGGTACATTTCCAAATTTCCTCAAATCTAAATACCAGTCCAGGTAATGATTGGGCGGTAATCGGGACTGTAGTTTCTCGTAATTGTCCTCACGTAAGCTGCCTCCCACCAGCTCGCCAATTTGTGGAACCAGCAAATCAAATGCAGCTACCTGGATTTAAAAAATCTACCAATCTATAAAGATAATACAAGATGTTTCCTCAGTGGTCTAAAACATTTTAGGGTTTGATTCATCATATGGTTTTAAGCAAAAACGTTCATATAAACAGGGGTTCTAAAGTACATACTTTCTTTCTGATCTACAGGGCTTTAAAACATTTTAAAAAAATCGCATTTCTCCCAATATGTCGGAAAATACTTTAGATATTTTCTTCAGTTTCGGTATGTGGTTTCCCGGTATAAAGCGAGTTCATTTCAATTATCTGTTGTTTTCCTAGTTGAACCAGTGGTGTCCGTACGCACACACCCCTGGATTGTTTTATTAACCTTCAATGGCGTGGTGAGTTTCCGTAAAAACTAGCATACATGAACATTGAGGTGGGCTTTTAATTTTTTTTATTTTTCTTTCTCGAAAACCATTCAATGTATAAAAAAAAACTCAAGAGATGAATTTTGTTAAAAAAGTTTTGACCATCGAAATTTTTTTTTTCTCGAAAAAAAAACGCATAGGCGTACCATTTATTTTAAGCCGATTAAATTGATTAGTTATTTGAATTTTTAACATCCTGTAGATCCTTTAAACTACCTGTTCATATAAACTTTTTTTCTTAAAAATATATAATATAATAAGGAACACCCTAAATTTTTCTAGACCACTAAAAAAACAGCCTATATTGTCGCTCTATGAGCAAAACACACCGAGTCAAAAAAATAATATTTTTTTTAGTCATTTTTCCTGAAAAAATATAAAGCTATTATTACACTTAAATATATGGCTAAAGCTCCGTCTACACAGAAAGTTTTATCTGTTCAGTCAAAACATATCCTATAAAACCTTGTGTGCAAATTGAGTGTGTACAAAAAAACGCCCGTTTTACTTACGTAAAACCGTCTAGAAAGCTGAGGAGGGATTGTTCAGTTGTATAACAAAACTGTCATTTTGCCTACACAAAAAAAAATATAAATTTACAAAATTAATATGGATATATCACAGCATCTAATAATAGTTCAAGAAAATAGGCCTTCAAAAATGAAGTTTTGGTAAAAATTTGACAGCTTTTATTAAAACATTTGTTTCAAAGTCCTTACCGTTTCTCGGAAATTTGAAAAAAAAAACACTTATATTTTTCACCCCTTCTCGGCGTGACTTTAACAAAATATTAATTGAATTTTATAATTTTCAAAACAAATTAAATAAAAATGTTACAGATATAAATTTTTCAGCAACTTATACAGGGTTGTTCACCACATACGACATGGAGTATTGTAGCTAGACGATTAGATTTTTGCAAATTGTAAGTTTTGGGTTCGTTGAAGGACTATTAGAGCTACAATAAAAATATTTTTACAAGATACAGAGTGTCCCAAAAAAATAAAAAATAACAAAGTTATATTTTTTTAAATGAAACACCCTGTATATTATTACATTTTTAGTTGTTTGATTAAAATAAAGGTAAATTTGATTAAGGTTTATCACACTTAAACCTTACCGTTTTTGAAATATTTTCATTTGTGTGAAATTGCAGTAAAAATTTTAAAACTTCGATTCCCCAAGGGTATCGAAGTTTTTAATACCAGATATTTACTGAAGTTTATTTATTGATCAGTTATTGTGTTGCAATAATAAAAATAATACTACCTTATACAGAGTGTCTAAAAATTTATTTTAAATAATTTCTAGCTTTAAACGGCAATAACTTGTTTAATTTAAATGGAACACCCTGTATATTTTAGGAGCATGAGATGCACAATTTAATTGTCTATCAAATTGTATTATAGCATTTTTTACCTATATCTTCAAGTTTTTGTAGAAAATGCATTTTCTTATAATTTAGACCATGTATGATATTTTAGAATATTTTTAAAGATGTAACAAATTTTTATAGAGTACAGATACTAATATTGTCGATAAAATTAGTTTATTTCATTAAAAAATAAAAAAAAAATTGAAGAGATAGGTAAAAAATGGTATAACATAATTTGATAGACAATTATATTGTGCATCTGATTCTCCTAAAATACAGGGTGTTCCATTTAAATTAAACACGTTTTATTGTCGTTTCAAGCTAGTAATTACGTCTTGCTTGACAGGTAAAACGTTATATGTAGACGAGGCTAAGACAGACAAGTCTCTTGAGAACTGCCTTTTAACAAAACAAAATAAAACACTAAATCACCACAATACACGAAAACACTTTTACTTTTACACTGGACGCGCGTTTCGCTAACAATGTTAGCATCATCAGCAGATGAATATAACCTAAAAACTATAAACTACTAGTTTATATTCATCTGCTGATGATGCTAACATGGTTAGCGAAAGTATAAAATTTAATTACTAAGTGTAAAAGTGTGTTTTGATGTATTGTGGTTTTATTTTGTTGTGTAGCACAAAGGTTCCAACCCTCAACTGTAAACTGCCTTTTATAGATGGCCTTCCATTTTACCCGACATGCAAAACTCCCAGGTAAAAGATAATGTGTAGGCGAAGCTTAATAAATATGAAAATGATTTTATAATGAAACTCATAATTCCTAGGCTTTGTGGATTTTTTCAAATTATAGCTTTATATTTTGGTAGAAATCTAGTCAAATGATGTTCATAAGTAAAAGATAAATAAAAAAAATCCGACTTTGTGTGTATTCTCTGTAGACCGACGATATAATAACTGTTAACTTACATTTGAATCCTCAATTTCTTTCATATAAAACGGTTTCTCAAGTTTGGGCCAGTTTATAACGAACACGGGAATATTTTCGAAGTATTCCGTTAACGCTAATTCGTGTTCTTTAGAAAATGCTCCTTTATACTTTAGTGGTTTACTAAGCTTATTCGTTACGATATCTGCCGCTTCAAAATACGTTAAAACTTTAAACTTCTTATCAACCCACGAAAAATTATGTTTATTCTCGGTACAAACGTAAATATCATCCGTATATCTGTCCAATAAGTGTTTGGTAACGCCTTTAATTAAATCTTCTGTTATTTCGAGTAAATTGTCTAATGAGGTCAAAAATGCTTTTTCCAGTTCAAGCATGTAAAATTCAGACAGATGATGCCTTGATTGTGAATTTTCTGCTCTAAAAGCCGGACCAAAACAATACACTTGTTTTAGAGCATGAGCTGCAGTTTCCAGATGTAACTGCCCCGAGACAGTTAAAAATGATTTTTTATCGAAATAAGCATCTTCAATATTAACATTTTCTTTTGCCATAGATTTTAAAAGATTGTTATTATCGGGAACGACTTTAAAAACTTCACCAGCTCCTTCACAATCATTTGATGTAAGAATAGGAGTTTGAACACATACATAACCGTTCCTGTCTAAATAATTATGGAATGCTAACGTCGCGCCGTGTCTCACTCTTAAAACCGAACTGAACTTTTTAGTTTTTGGTCGTAAATGCAAATATTCTCTAATGTATTCCGGTGCGTATTGTTTTCTAGGCGCAAAAGGATAACCTTTTTCAATGTCACATTCTCCAATAACCGTTATATTCTTCGCTTCTATTTCGTTTACACCTTTAGGGCTTTTACATACAGTTCCGAATGCTTGAACGGATGATCCTACTGTAATTTTAATGTTAGATTTGTCTTGTAGTACTACTTGTAAATGCTTAACTGTAGAGCCATCGTTTATATCGCAAAACGTTACGTTTTTTTGTTTTCGTACCGACTTAACCCATCCCTATAAAATGAAAATAAATTTGTGATATATAAGTTGGTATAAATTGAATACATACTTGAATTGAAATTTCTTCCCCAATTTGACTAGCTTTCAGAACATTTGATATTGATTTATAACTACAAAATCTACGTAAGAAGACCGGTTTAACATTAAGAACTGTGTTTAACATGTTTTCTGGCTTATTATGTTAAATATTTAATTATAAAAAGAAATAAAAATCCTTTAAAAATCAAACATTTTTGAAAAAAATAGCAAGGTTATTTTGTCTTTTCTTCTTTTTATTAATTAATTTAAAGGCCTAAGCTACTAGGACTATCCGGTCTAGTAATAGGGTACTACTCGCGGTGGAGTTCTTTAAGCAGGTCTATTCTCTTAAAAGCCATACCTGCCAGGGCTATCCGCCTAATAGGAAATTATAAATAATATAGAAGATCCCCAGATTTTGTGGCAAGGAAAAGGGATCTCCTCTATTCATAAATTTAAAAGAATCTGTTTTTTACACGCAAAAAACTAAAATTTTACACGCTCGTCCCTGATCAATAATAATATCGAGGTTTATTTGGTTGCTGCACTTTAAGACCGGCTTAATTTATTTTTCTATGAAATGCCTACTTATTTCTACCAGGAAGAAATTTGTTGTTTTACAAAATTTTTGTCAAATCATATAATATAAAATACTGTTTATGTTCAATGGGTCACCCACACATTTGATCTAATCAGAGAAATAGAAGGGATAGAGAATGAGCGTCAACATGCGCAGAAGGTCTAATGAAGTTGGGCGCCATATTCCAGGTCTTTGTGTCATTTTGTATATAGGTGGTAATCTATAAGTAATCAAATATCAATTTGCTGTTTTCAACCATACGGGGGGCAATTTAAATTTAGTGAAATTTCATTTATTATGGTTAGTTAACATTAATATGATTTATTTAATTATCAGTTTCAAAACTGCGTACAATATTGGTATATAATACACTAAATATACGAATATTCTGACAAAAGACGCTACGGACAGATGACCTTTTCGTCGTTAAACACTCGAAATGATATTAAATAAGTATTTACAATATTTCATGTTTACTTGTACTGAATTACGCGTTTCAATTTAAAAATTTTTGCAAATTTGGCAAAAATTGTTCTAAACAACTTTTTGTTCAAGTTGTATATTCATAAAAACATTTGGTTCATAATTATTTTGATGATTACCTATCTTGTATTTTTAATATAAACCTAGAAAAATATGTTTTTGTTTTTTATTTTTTATTCGTCCCTTCAAATTGTGTTACAAAAACTGTTATAAATAACATGTCCTCTAACAAATATTTTCATAATACATAAACATCATTGATTTTATTAAGGGTATTATTATTAGTATTTATCCTGGTTTTTGTCGACAATAAAAACTCAATCTTGTAATAGAACATCAATTTTATATTTCGTAAAATTATTTTGATACAAATTCAATTTGTCAAAATTCAAGTCATTAATATATTGATAAACAACCCAAATAATTCCTAAATATTTTATTATAAAAAAAACTGTTACCTTGTAAACACATTATGGTTTGTCTTAATACTAGAAAAATCATTTATTTTTTTTGCACAAAGAAGCTTGTCGATCCTTATTTGTCCACAACAAAATTCTGTATGTACAACATACATATACCTAATTTATTATTAAGAAAATTAGATTATATGATCTCAGAATTTTAAGAAAATGTTTTTAAGATAAAATAGTTTCTTCTCAACTGTAATATTGTCAACTTTGGCCTGTATTTTATCTATTTAAAAACATGGGATTGACAATCCCCTTACTAAAATACATACTGGAAAGTACTGATTAAGTTTCATTGCATCAAATACCTTTGCTATAAATCCTGGCTCACAATTTAAGGCCATTGCAAAATGCTATTGAACTTCATAATAGATTTTACAAGAATAAAAGTGTAATATTGAAACAAAGTAACATTGTAAGCTTCATGACTAATAGTCTCATTTTTAACACTTTAAATATCATCTCGTTAACAATTATGAATATTATATGATTTTTCTCAGTGATTTGTGGTACAGATACAAATTAATATATGCCCCATAACAGTTTTTAAATAAGAAACTTCTGCCTACAGATTTAATTTTCTTATTGGCATAATACCCTTTCTTCCTATATAAATCTTGCCATTTTTTCAGTCCAATGTTCCTTGTTTTTACAGTTGTAGGAATACTAAAAATGTTGACTATAGAACTAACTCGATACTATGTTTGAAAAAGCCTTCATACCTGTAACTGTGCATAAATCTAATTAACTGAATTCTCCTCCTCTTGACACTCTGAACACTGCTGCTGCTAATGTTAGAAATATTTAGCACAAAACTACAACTACCTACAACAAACTTTACAATAAAAATGTTAAATTTTCGCTGTTCGATTAAAATACCCTATCTTATGTTTTCTTTTCCTCCAAATAATCTTCTTGTCAAGTAAGGACCAATCTTATTTGACATATTTCTGCTACACTTGAACTTGTGCTTTCATGGACACTATAAGAGTGCACTGTTTTACAGAAGCACAAACATTGATTCCAAGTATCATCTTCCTCCACACGTAATAAAAACATCCTCTTTAAATGGCCTCATCATACACTTATTTTTGACCATTCCCAATTACAATCACGATTTTTACAAATGGCCTTTAGGAAAACAAAAATCAACAGTTTTGGATCATCTGTAAACACGATTATGTTGTATAAACTTACACATGAAAACTAATCATTTTTTCCGCGTATTAGCTTTCTTAGAATGACTATGACAATATACAACAAGCACGACAACAAGCCTTTTTGAATTAGTGTTTAGAATAATTGAGATAATAATAAATTTTAACTAGATAACAACACAAACGAAAAAAAAACAAAACAAACAGATGTCAATTAAAGAGGGGAAGTGACAGCGAGACCTGGAAGATGTCTGCCATCTTGCCGTCGACAAAAATTTGGATGCGCACTCGTCGAAGTTCATTCTCCCACTTCCATATCTCTGCTTCTATTAAAAGATCAGCCTACGGGCGGACTTTTGTTTACTTCATCAGCTGTACATACTTAGATATTGGGTTAGATTCCGTTTCATATTTTGTCGGTTGATTTTTGGTTTTAACTCTTTGATTTTTGGTATTATTTATTATTGTAGTGCAAAAAACTAATTATTTTGGTGTTGAAGTGACATAAACTACTACCAGATATATGGTCACTCTCGGTTTCGCACAAAAAAATAGAAATTTTAAAAATTACACGTTGTGCAAGTGATTTAACCTAAAAGTGCCCATACATTTTTTACTTATCGTGATTTTTGTGTGTGTTTTTTAAGACTCTAACAATTCATCAATAAAGCTTAAGTGGAGTGTGTTTTCGGTGCTATGCCTCATCTTTGTTGTGTTCCTGGTGGAAAGGATAGTTATACTAGGCAGCCTAAAGTGTCCGGAAGAGCAAGAAAAGTGGGTACGAGTTATAAATCAAGAGAATTTTATTGAAAATATCTTTAATAAATTTAAAAATAATATTCTCCCATGATGGTATTAATGAAAACTGGACAATTATGTTTATTTTATTCATATTGTGGAATCTCCACTCCAAGTGTTGCTGGTTCAGCTTCGATAGATTCAAACACGTAAGTAGGTATTATGATCTAGGGAAAAATAAAGAATATGTGTATTAGAGATCATGAAAAAGATTATTATTTTGAGTTCAAATTTTAAAAAGATTTTTGTAAAGACAAGACTGATACAGTTTAAAAAGAAGAATGTGTTTTTGTTTGATAATATATAATGTATGTTAAGCATAACATATATTTGTTCAGTAATTTTAATGAATAGTATTGATTATTTATAATACCAAATTAATATCAAATATTTAAGTGATGGCTGAATACAATATGAATAAAATAACAATAAAATTGGTATATTTGCATAATACAAAATTAAGTTTTAAGAATAAAGGTGTTACTAAAAATACTAAGAAATTCATATTTCTTTGTTTTAATTGGTCTAATGTTATTTACATTTTACGTAAGAATTATACCGTATCATCGAAAAATCGGCGTCTAGTTGGCTTGGAAATGAATATCGATGACATTCCCTAAATAACTGTACACATAAAATAATTAACTAGAATTTTACAATCTTGGAAAATTTGATATTCTTGAACCTTGATTCTAAATATTCAAAATTTTTTTGATTTTCTTGGAATTTAGGTTCGGGAAAAACGCTGATTGATTTTTCATTTGGTTTTTCATTATTTTTATTTGGTTTAAAAAAAACGGTTCGGCTAACATTATAGCCTCCATCAGTGTTGTGTCATATGAAAAAAATAGTGTCGAATATAATCCAAAAAATTGCATATAAAATATGCACACCACGCACATAATGTTTACTGCGTACTCCATAGTCAATGTAGATAATTTTAGTGTTAAGAATAATAATTTTAAAAAATATGTGGTCATCTTTTGATAAGTTTATATTAGTTTATTAATTGCAGTAAACATTATGAGGTGTGAATTATATTGTATATGTAATTTTTGGATTATATTCGACACTATTTTTCTCATATGACACAACACTGTGAAGGCTATAGTTAGCCGAAACGTTTTTTTTTAAACCAAATAAAAATAATGAAAACAAATGAAAACTTAATCAAGCGTTTTTCCCTGAACCTAAAATCCCAAGAAAATCAAAAATTTTAGAATAATTTAACATATAAAATGCCAGCGATCTTCATTTCATAGCCATCGCTGACGCCTTTTTAGATAATATTGTATTATTTGTAAATATAATTTTTCGAACATTGATACTTGCAAAATATACATATAAATTTTGTGAATGCAAATAATAATACATCACTATTAGTAGATATTCAATGTTTTTGTTAAATTAGATCGATTTTCAAACCCCAAAATTTAAAATATATTTACATTTTACCCATTATCTTATGTACCTATACATTATTTGTACATTGTAAAACATTTGCTGCATATGTATGGTTCATAATTTATTTGCCAAAGTATTTATTACTATAAATAGGTATATATGTTGTAGTTATTAACTGTATATTATGTATATTTCATTTAAACTATATCATTTTTAAAATACAAACCAAAAATCTGAGGAATAATTATGTTTTCCATGTATTCTACAACATATTTATTAATCCGTTATATCTAACTAGCGTGACGTCATAAATCTCGCCCGCAGGCTGATCTTTTAATAGAAGGCATTGCTTCAGCGATGGCTATGAAATTAAGATCGATGTCATTTTCAGTGTTGCCAACTTAGCGGAATATCCGCTAGATTTAGGGGAATTTAATTTGATTTGACGGAAAACTATAAGCAGTTGCGGCCAGCGGATTTTTTAGCGGAAAACGCAAGTCCACTTTGATGCAATACTTTCGGTAAGATATGGGCTAAAAAAGTTAGATAAGTGTTGCAATGATTATATCTTACCTCTTGATGTCCTTAACAAAATAGGTACCAAAGAATGTTATGATGATAAGGATGACATGATGATTGATTTTATATAGATCTCACTATAAATACGTGATTTGAATTTGTTATTTTATTTTTTTGAGTTGTTTTTAGATATTATAGGTAATAATGAGAATACCTAAATTTTATTTTTGTATTTCTCCGTTAATAAAGACTTTAACATATCAAGTAGTACCTTGCGTTTATTTATTCAGTTAAAAATAATTTTAAATGATAGCAATAACAAGCAATTTCATCAATATCATTAATATATAATGTATTTATAAACCCAGTTATTTAGCGGAAAAATATCAAATTTAGCGGATTTTAAGCATCGATCTAGGGGATTTCATTTTTTAGCAGTTGGCAACACTGGTCATTTTATAAGAGAAATGTTATCGATGTTCATTTCCAGGCCAACTGGACTGTTTTTTTGGTAACCTTTCTTTAAACCATACTGTAGTTGATTATACCGTATGATCGAAAAAAAACGGCGTCCAGTTAGCTTGGAAATGAATATCCATGACATTTTCCCATATAATTTTACATATAAAATGCATACAGCATAAATACCCAAAAAGCCAGAGATTCATTTCTATGGGTTAATGCCCAGTCATGTTTTTTGGAAAATAAATTGAGTAGATTTTATTCTATTCCATAAAATAAACCTTTTCTAAGAAAAAAACCTATTGATTTTCGTTTGAAAACTCCCTTTATGGATTTCATTTTTCTTGTAGTGATATAACCGGTTGATAAAATAAGCATAGGGAAAAAAGTAGACAGGTAAATGGAGATACCCATATGTAGGATTAGCATGTAGGTGTACTCTGTTAGGGAGTGCCAGGGTCTGTGCATCGGCTTGGAACAACAAAACAACGCCGTTACAGAACAAAATATAATTTATTGATATAGAAATACATTAGCTACAAAATATAAATATTATACAGGTATTGCAGACCCATTGAGGGCAGCTGATTTATGTGACCATTTAAGGCACATCGTCGAATCCTAACTAAATATTGCAAAAATGTATAAATAATAAGTTACATATAAATTATAATAAAATAGTTACATAACATAAACTTATGGAAAAAAGAAACACACAAATTAAATAATGATTTAAATAACAAAAAAAATCGTATTCTCTCATCGGTCTACAAGGCACACATATAAACAAAATGAGAAGGTGAAAATAATAATAAATAAAACTTCAATCACGGAATGTTAAAGAAATCAAGACCGATGACTGAAACTAAACCTAAACTTGCACTGACAAATAAATCAACATTCGTATAAAACACGCTTCTTAATTATTAATTAATAAATTTATTATTATTTTAAAATCACACATTAGCAAAATCACTCCGCCATCGGCGAGAATTATCTGTAATATAAATAAAAAAAAAACACTGAATTAAATAAACTGTCTTGAGGAAAAAGTGTCTATAAACATAAATATTTAGCGTAGAAAGACCGCTCACTACATGATGAGGTCGTTCAACGTGAGCAAAGGGGTTGTGGAGAGCCTGTTGAAAACGGGCAAACGTTGCTCGTCCAAAGGTCCAGGGGAAGGTAGTTCGGGCTCGCTGCTAAAAAACGAACCCAGGGATGAGGTGGGGGACTGGCTCAAACTGCACGGTGGACTGGGACTATCCAGCGACAGCGCAGGACTGAGAGCTGACGGACGTGGCCTCTGCGCAGCCATAACAGCGCTGGAGGACTGCGAAGGACCTTTCTGCTGCATCGCCTCCTCTTGGTTGTGGACGAAATGACAGCGCGGTCCGTAAGGGCAGAATCCCACCGTGTGATAGGTTCTGCACAGCTCGGTTTTGTACTTGGGATGGCGGGCCAGGCTGCGCAGCTCGGGCATGCCGTGCGCGAACTGGCACTTGTCGCCATACTTGCACACGCCGAACTCTTCGAACGGTCGACACAGCTCGGTCTTGTAGCGGGAAGTGTTGACGGTGGTGGCGCTGAGGGCGGCCTGGGGGGCGGATGGGAGCATGCCGGGGGCGGGGGCAGACTGGGTGCGTTCTAGTTTGCGGTGCTGCTGCGTCAGGTTGCCCAGGATCATGGCGAGGTTCTGATTGGCGGTGATGGGAGTCGAGGTCATTCTGGTCAGCGTGAGGCGCATCGATGAGCCCACGGCCAACGGTCCGTCGGTATTTACACCACTCTGGAAATAAAAAGAAGAAATATGTTAAAACTAATTAACAATAATTATTTAATGAAAGAAAATGTACTTGAGTCAAGACTGTTTTATTATCAACATCAAGAACTGTTTTTCACCAAAAAGGTTCTCTCGTGTTATCTTCACCTTTATACTATATTTAACTTATACCAATTTCACAAACACTTTCCAATTATTTCTAGAATTTCTTGTTTATTGCCTATAAATAATTCTTTTTACAGCGTCATGTTCTACACATGTACACATGTAGAACATGCGTAGATATGAGGAAATGACCTATGAGGATTCACCTATAGATATAGTCTGTACACGAGTCATGGAAGATTTCACTAAGACATCCAAATAATGAAAGACATATATGTGACTGTCAGGTCAGGGAACCTCGTGTTGGACAGACTTTACTTGCCATATTGCCAAGTATGTCATAATTTTTCATCATTCGTTAGTACACAGCATAGACTAATGCTATGTACTAGGTACACAGCAACAATATGTAATAATTTGATATAATACATAAGATAAAAATAAATTAATTTTCGAACTCAAAACGTATAAGTAAAATTGTACAGGGCATATTACTAATTTTCTGTTAAGAACTAAGCAGCTGAAGCTAAGAAACATGGCAAAAGCAGATTCCGTGGGGGAAAATGGGGAAACACCAAAACACCCGTGCACCGAAACGACAAGCATTCATCCAGAACTTTGTTACGACTGATATTGGAGACGGAGAACTAACCTCTGTAAAACCGCCTTAGATACTGGCTTTTGTCAAAGCCCTGAGACTGTACGATAAGTTATAATTCAAGAATCGCGGTGATTCCCCTTCCCATAAAATATACATCTACATGCGATAAAATGTTACTTAATTTGCCTAAAAAATCCGTTTTACACTTTCAAATATACCGTTATATTGTGAATTGCTAACGCGAATTGAACTAAAATCACATTATAGAATGAACGAATTGAAAAGTATCCGGAACAAATACACCTCTTTCGTCAATCATTCTGTCGTTATCTAAATTTGTTTTTGTCGTTTGGAGATATGGATAGGCCGACTTGACGTAGACATTTTATGAGGTTGGTTGGAGTTTATGAAGATACTTTTGATATTTTTTATCGCCAGACTATGTAGTGTATTTTTTACTATTTTTTTTGGATTTTTTCTAGTTTAGTTTTGTATTTTTAGTATATACATATTAAATAATCTGCTGTAATCATCTATAATATATTGTTTTTATCACGTAGACTGATAGATAGATAGCGGTAGTCAATCATATCCATAGAGAAAACCCACAGGGGAACTGTTTACATTTTATGCGAATGCCAACATCCTATTGTTATTGTTTGGTATGTTGCCCAGTATTTCTCCGCTTTTGTTTATTTTTAATTTTGTATACGTATACTTTGGGGAAATCTTAAGAAAATAATAATATAATTAGCTTACTACTTTTCAAAATTTCCACATTTATAATTTTATTTAGTACTTATTAAGATTCAGTCAAGATTACAAGAAAAATAAACTTGAAATATTTGTAAATTTCGTCATTTTTCATCAGCTGTTAGGATTAATTTTTAATCTGACAACGCCGCTCTGTTGTTATAGTATTTTCTATAGTAGGGGAATTGGACGCGGTCAACAGTGTCAATACTGTCGATAAACAGCTGATTGGCATGATCAGCTGTTTGCCGTGCTTTTATTTTTCCATATTTCTTAACTATTAATAAACTATTAATGTATAATTGTTTCATTTTATATAAAAGACCAAAATTAGCATTTAAAATGGGTCTACACTGGCAAAATGTGTGAGAATAAAAGAATTTAAACATCGTCATTTCAAAAGTAAGTACTGTTCTGTGGTAATACAACATCTCGTTTTATTTACCTAAAATATTTACCATATTTGTTAAAATTTGTTTATTTGTTTTATAATATAATTTTGTGAATATAATATATTATGTATATTATAAGAAGTAATGTTTATATTTTTGTTACAATATTGTCCGATTTAAAATCGTATATTTGTATTTAATTATGAATACAAATAATTTGTATGTTTACATAAATTATAATTGGTATGTTTACATTTGTAAAATAATGCCTATTTACGTTTTCTATTACTAAGATAAATATTTTATTTCAGATTTCTAAAAGATAGTGAGAGAAAAATTAAATGGTTTTCTCTGTTAGGATTTATTCATAGCATAATATTAAAAAGTCGAGCAAAAGAGAACTCAAGAACAGCTGATTTTTTTATAAGGAATTGAAGAAAATATTTAAAATCTGATGATTTTCACAGCCATTTATGTCGCGATTTGTGGTCTTTCAGTTGTTTCAACATCACCTAGGAAATTAACATTAAGATATCAGGATCCTGCATATAACGAGATAAGAACTATGATCTTGTTAGGATACCTATTCCGTCACAATATGTAAGTACATATATATTTACAGTTTAATTTTTTAATATAAAATATTACTATATACTAATATGTATACACAGATTCAAAGTGTACAGGGTGGTGCCTTTCATACGATATGAAGGTTTCAAGGATTTTTGTTGATGGAAGTTTGTATTGAAAGAACAAATGGAGGGTTTAGAAATCAATCAAGTCATACAAATTCACTTTCATTTTCCTTGGAGCCTTCGCGTCCTATGAGAGGTGTTACCCTATATGTATATAGATTTGTATATATATATAATATATATTATATTAATATTATTTTACTAAAATTACACTATAGTTGTATAAGATCTCACCATCGAAAAAAAAACAGCGTTAGGGTTGGCTTTGAAAGCAAGATTTATGTAATTTTATAAAATGTAAATTTATGTGGTGAATGTCATTGATCGTCAATTTTATTTTGCTCACAATGTATACTCAATGTAGATATTTATATTCACCAACTTCATGTTTATATTTTGTTTTAGGAAGTGAAGATATTCATGGTGTGGAAGTCGTTACTTTAATTACATAGTGCATATGAAATTGGTCCTTTACATCATGTTTAAAATTGACGTAATGCTACTATGCAAAATAGTGAGAGATGTGAACCCTAGGCAGAGCTACAGAATTACTTTTGTTGAGAGACAAATTATGATAGTGATTAGAATCGCATATTCTAGACTTTTACTTAAAAAATGATTTGTTCGGAATGAACTTTTATAGTGTGGAGGAATACCTGCAAATTATAATATGAGGCCTACGTATATGATAATTTTATTATGATCTGTTGTGTTTGTTTTTTTATATTTTGTATTATATATTTGTGTTAGCTTTAAGAATTTATTGACTATTCCTATACAATTGTACATTGTTTTATGGAAATAAATAAATGATTGATTGATTGAATAAGTTAGGAAACCATACGATCGAGAAAAAAACGGCTTCAAAGGCGACTGGGGAATGAAAATATGATAATTTCAGTGAGGTCAAGCCCTAGAAGTCATTTTCTTGGCTCGTACTATTTTTTAAAGGCGCTCTAAGGTTGTAATTTATTTTTACATTAAGTAAATATGATTTTTAAATGGTGTAGTTTAAGATTGACCTCGCTAAATTATCAATCGTCATTCCTCAGCCGCCTTTGACGCCGTTTTTTTTAGACTATTTGCTATAACTATGTTATCTGTTATGCAAATACATATGTCAACAAGTAAAAAGCCAATGAGAAATTAGTTTCTGCTTGGATCCTTACAGTGGCATTTAACAAAATATATATTTTTTCAGGTTACAATATTTTATTTAATATGAACCTGTAAATGTAAGAATATTATACATATATTATATTTTTTACTCAGTCCCTAAATATATTATTAAAATACAACACTTGTGTTTTTTATTAATATCGTGTTATGATTAATACCTAATTAATGTAAAATTATATGGTATGTAAATATCCTTACACTGAGAATTCGTTTGGTCAAAATATTACTCTCTTACTAATATGAATTTGAAAACTACAGAACATTGTTTTTTTTTAGTTTTTGTGCTAATATTTCCACTTAAAATTACCGAATATATTTATGGTATAGGTAGGAAAAGATGAATTTTGTGCTTTTTAATTATACATTATATTAATTATATTATTATTGTAAATAATATCTACTGATATTTAATATAAAAAATAGTTATTCACATGCATCTATTTTTCTTTTGTAATTAATACTATCTAAATAACAAGACATCTTATATAATAGATCCATTAACATTTTAGTTTATCAATTATCAATCACTATACGATATACAATACGTATAATATCTTTTAATTATATCTAACTTTTAATTATTGAATATTTAATAAACAAATTTTTTATAGTGTTTGTTAAATATTTTATAGCATATACTATTATGTATTTATAATAATTTATTAGTTTTATTGCATGAACATATTTTTAAAATTTATTATTAAAAAATATTTTATCTTTGCCTCTAACCACCTACTTCTATATCTCTGGCTTTTACTTTACTATCATCAATGAATCTCAAGGTTAAATTCTGTTTTGATGCTCTTCCGCTGTAAACTCCCCTACCACTTTCCTCTTTACCCCGCTGTCCATAAACTATGGTAGTGGGGGCACTCACCGATAAAACGATGTAGGCACCTCGATTTTGTGAATTTATGAATGACTTGCTCTATCTATTTTTATTCTTAATCTAAGAGAAAACCCAATAATTAGCTTATAAAACAATATACATTTCATTTTTAATCACAATTTCTCTTGAATGATAATCAAAAACCAAAATGACATTACCCGCTAATTTAGAAGTATAATTAGTGGGAAAAGTTTGTTAACTTTTTCTACTAATTGAAAATTACAACCACTAATTTTGACGTTCTGAAATTACAAGAAATTATTTCATTGAAATTAGAGGAACAAACTTCTACGCTAATTGAAACCACTAATTTGGAGGGTCTGAATGAAGCTTTAAGCTACATCAGGTGTGTGTCAATAGATTTTAGAGTCTTGCCATGGAACAACAGTCCA